ATAAGGCCGCGAGACTTTGCGAGCCTGTGACCTCTCCCTTTAACAACAAACATGGAGTTGAACGTGATGTTCCAGAGGCCTGAGGGAAACTCCGGGCTTGTTTTTGCCTCCCATTGTTCCGTCTGCGTGACCGGTTAGCTCAGGCTCTGCTCTCAGCACATTATCACCGTCACGTGAGCCACTGTGGAGCCGAGCAACACATTAGGATTCATGCAAAAGAAAAAGAGAATGTTAACTAGATTTAGGTATTTGCCATGTTGCATAATGTTGAATAATTCACTCTGCAATTATTGCACGTCTTAGTTTACCATTCTGCATCCAAATGTATTAGTTTCGGAAGCAGGAATGTGCAAAAACAAACCACCCAGGCCACACTTCATTCTGAATTCATGTTATGTATCTAGCCTTCTTATCACAGTCAGCTGTGAAAGAACTCTAATAAAACAGGACCTCTGTCTGAACCATGATAAGGAAGATGAATGAAGGAAAGGAATGCTAGCAGCAAAACAAATGCTAAACAAGGCACACATTTGTACAGAACTGCATTCATTTAGACATTTAGTATTTCAAGTATAATACTACATATTTGCAAAATCTTTACACCCTTTTACATAATTCAACCTTGATTGAATCAGTGTAGGCTATATTTTAGTTGCTTTGGAGTTTATTTTCTGAATAGTGGACGAAACGGACAAAAGTAATTTGATTAAGTTCTATCAAATTGATTTGAAAGAAGACTTATTATGCTAAATTTCAGGTTCATATTTTATTCTGTGCCTCTACTGTGACAAGTGTCCATGCTTTAATGTTTAAAAAGCTCTTAATTCTTCTCCTACTGCCTGTGCTGCAGCACCTCTTTTCACCCCCTGTCTGAAACCAGAGCATAGTCTGCTCTGATTGGTTAGCTTAGCTGACTGGCTCTGTGTGTGTGTGTGTGTGTGTGTGTGTGTGTGTGTGTGTGTGTCTTATCCAGTCTGTGATAAGCTCCGTCGTTAGGATTGTTTTTAACTTGTTAATAGTATTTCCCAGCATGCCTGTGTAGAAAATATTGTATACAAACTACTGTATATTGGCTAATTTAACAATGGACTTTGCCGATGTTACATGAGCTCTTCTATGTGTTTACTTATAAAAGAGGACACAAGTTTAAGCCATGTATCAAATAGGGTATTAAATAGTCGTTTATTTTGCTTTGGGATCATGCCTTAAGATTCTAAAGAAGGTAATTGTATGTCCAGTAGGACCATCCGCTTATTATAAACTTTAGAGGGATTAATGCATCTTCCAACTCATGTGTAATGCTTTTAATATTGTACTTTTTAAAATCAAGCTTGTAGATTTGGGAGAGAGTTTATTATGTTTGCTAAAACGTTTGGACTGTCTCAGACCATAGAGATATATGGTGTATGAATTTGGAAAAAGGGCATAGCTCTCCTTTATACCATTACAAGTTTAAACGAATATATTAACATCCATACATGATATCTCTATGGTCTAAAAAAGTCCAAAAGTATTATCAAGCATAAACAACTCCCTGCCAAATCCAAAAACGTGAGCCCTAAAAGTCAAAGTTGTGATAAAATATAAAGAATGGAACTGCGCTCCATTGACAATTAATTGGAAAGAATGTTAAAGATGATAGCAACAAGGGGAATATTTTTGGTATATACGGGTACATTTACTGTTTCACATCTGATAAAACTACAATAGAGAAAGCTAATTTGTGCAGAAAAATTATAATAATTAGAATGATTGTTATCCTTTCAAAATAAAAGTTTTCTTACTCTAAAAATGTATAGATTCCCTTTGTGAGCTCCAGCATTCCTCTTAAATATGACATAAGAGAATAGCCATACACTAATTTGTGTCTGTATGCACACCTGCTTGTACAGAATCTGTGCATGTGTGTATGATTGTGCCGTGGGAATCCCTGGGAATACTGGACATGTTTGAGTCAGCATGACTCATCATGAATCACTTAATCAGCCACACATAGTGAAATACATTATGGTAATGGGTCAAAGTGAACACTGACTCATCAAATCACGTTCCTAACATATGACTTTGTGGAGAAAGTATGTCGGTGACAAAAAAAAAATCCCTGTTCACTTTGGAACACTTACGGGCTTTACAGTTTTACCTGTTTCTTTACGTGCTTCCCCATTTCCCCACTTCCTGCTTCCTGTAGCTGAAGCTTTATGCTGAATTTCCTGCAGGACTTCACACTGTCACATGCTGTACGTTATGTGGTGTTGCTGCAGTCACTCCCTCAATATTCATCTTTATTTCAAACAGTCAAACATTTTATAATGACGCTGAAAACCAAAAATAATAACGTGTAATTCAAATACATTTTAGTCAAAGGAATGTACATGCCTGTTTGATTTAAATATCTTTTAAAATTAGATTTGTTTTTATAATAAGCGGTTGAATGTAACTACGTTGATTTACTTTGCCACAGTAATTTTTAAGAAATTCTTTCTCTATTAGGGAACTATTACATAATATTACATTTCAGATAGGAATATTACATTTTCCCTCCCCTATATTCAGTGACAGTGATTCAGGTTTTACATACAAAATATGAACGTTAGCATTAATTTACAACCTATAAATTAAACTCCATTACACACATACTGTTTAAACCAAGTCCAAAAATGTCAATGTGATAATACTACTTCAACTGTAGCTAATTGATAATAACAAGACTCAATGCTAAAATGTATAATAGTACAAAAAGGAATGAGTTATTTCTTTTTTTAAATACTCATGTGCCTTAAAGTTTTTTAATTGAGTAAGAATTAAGAACTTTAACCCTTTTCTAGATTATTTCTATCAAGTAGTATTGCTGAATATACTTAAAGGTGGGGTAGGTAATTTTGGAGAAACCAGCTCGAGATCGCTAGAATTTGAAAATACACAGCCGGAAAAAATCTGCCACTTCCTTACAGAGCCCCTCCTCCAACACACACGAACGCGCACATGACCAATGAGGGCACGAGATAAGTTTGTGCACAGATGGAAGGCTGACAGGCAGGTAGGCCATCCAGTTATTTTAGCCGGGCCGACTAAAATGATTGGTCGTGCTTTTTACAGTACTACGGCTTCCACAGATGACATTTTTGTATGGATTTTTTGTCAAAGCACTTAAAATATTCATTGCTATCGGGGTGTTAAGAGCATTCCATGGAATATAACAAAAAGTGTATCTCGAGCCGGTTTCTCAAACTTACCTACCCCACCTTTAAGTAAAATAACTGAATATTATAATCTATTCTTACAGTCAGAAAACACATATGATTTTCTATCGTGTCACAAAGGATGAAAACACTGGGATAAAGGTTAAGTCAGAGGCTCAGAGGTTAGGTTTAAAATATTCTTCCAAACACGAATATATGTAGATATCAGGGGCGGTTCTAAGGGGGGGCCAACAGGGGACAGTGCCCTCGTAACGTTGACCTAGGACCCCCCTGTGGCGGCCCTCCAAAAGAAAAGCTTATAATATTACGAACTAATGAAACTCAGCTAGCATTGTAGTCGGACCCCTTAGAGTGGTACACCGCCGGCTGAAGCGGGCAGAAAACAATCTACCCCTGTCATCTCCGACCAGAGGCTGTTCCCTTTGTACTTCAAGTAAGATTCAAGCCTAGATGTTGAGAGACTAAAACTCACAAAAACCGCAGGATGTTGTTGCTGTAATGTGAAAGAAGAGAAAACTCCAGCCTGGGATGCAGAGACCCGAATGCACGGTGGAGATTGAACTGTTCAGTGCCTTATATTCAGAGGTGGAAAAAGTACTCTTAATATTGTATTCGGTGCAATCTGTTGCATCCAGTGCCGTTTTTAAACTTGCTAATACAAATAACAAACCGTGTGATACTGCTGTCATTACTTCTGATTACTTTGCACTTTGCAGACTCCCCATTTGCTAATGCTGTTTTTCATTCTTTCAATTCCCTTTGTTGAATGTTTGTCTGTATGTTGTGATGATCTTGCAAAAGCTAACCACAATCAAATGCTTATATACTGGAAAACACTTGGGCTTGTCACTGGGGGAAGGGACGCCAAACCTTGTTGCCCAGATTCCATGTCACACTGTCAGGGAGAATGGCAGCAGAGGGGATTCATCAGGAACAATGAGGCAGTTTGTTCCATATGCAGCAGGTGGAGTTAGAGCGCTGCTGTCAATCAATCAAAATCAGTCATACATAAACATTTAAACCTGGATTATTCAGTAACACAAAACAATCTCTTCTCAAGTGTGTGAGAGAAACTCCCTCTGCAGGGAACTTTGGGATTTTAGCCTTAGCAGACCATTTACATGCACATACACTTTTATAACACATAACAGGAAAGTAATTCATTAGTGAGTATTTTTACAGATCATTATTGCCGTGTGGACGGGCCGAGAACTAGAAGTACGCAATGAAACCTATTAAAACCCATTTACTTATGCCACGGCCATTACATCATAACATCTTGCACTCATTCATTATACTTTCCAAATACTATACTATCACTCTTTGCATTTCAGGATTGCTGGTATTCAAAGTTTTTGTATACCTAATATTAACATATTTATCAGTATGAGCCCTCTACCATGTAATGCTATTTACACAAGTGAAGGACAGAATACAAGAAACAATATTTTATATACTTCAAACATTCATAACCAACAGTGTTGAATGATATTTCGTTGCAGCCAGTTGTAGACGATTGTAATGAGTCACTGCCCCTCAGTGGTGACAGCGGGGAACTACAACACAACATAATTCAGAGGAAATATGCACTGTTTATTGTCATTACTATTTTATTACTAATACAAAAAACAATGTATGTAACTGTAAGAGAATACATTTACTTTATTTTGTATCCTGATTACGTTATCTGGTTACATGTTATCCGTTACTCCCCAAGCCTGGCTAGGGCCATGCGTTTGGATAGTGATGGTGTTATGTAAAATTGATAAATATCCAAGAGACACAAACACAATCATCAGGTATTTGTTAGTTAGCATTTATTAATTTGAGGAGTAGCATTGCAGTTACAATAATAGACAATAAAATGCACTTTATGATATGTATTTTTCATTCACTTAAGCTTTTAATAATGATAACAAATAAAGGCTATTATTAGCAGTGCTAAAATAAAAAAATTCCAGTACTGTAAGTTGAGTATATAGTGACCCATCACCTTAGAACATATTATATAAATGTTATATTCCTGCAATTTTAAACATTAAGAGTGAGCAGTGGAATTACCAATTTTTTTCCAGGGTGATAAATAACTAACATATTATAAACAAATCTCACTCTAAAGAAGTGAGCATTACTGAAAAATGTATTAAATAGTTACTGATTATTAAAGAGTATGATAAGTAAGTTTCACATCTATTTATGATGGTTATTGTAGTAGTTGCAGCAGCACAGCTGTCAGCAGAGCAGCCAGGAACATGGATGTTGGGTGTTTTGAAAGCTGTGCTCCCCCACTTGTGGCGTTAACTAGAATCAAAGCCACAAACATACATTATAGGAGTAATGACATCAATCACAGAGGCGTAATTGTATTCTCAACACTATTGGTCATTGATCAGATTGTTAAAAAGCAATGATTAAGCTCTTAAAAAACGGCATGATGTAAATAAGAAACCAGTCATTGATGCTAACCTTGTGCAGTTGTTGTTGTTGTCACTCTCGGGGTCGTGGTTGTAATTGGTTTAGCTGTGGAGGAGATTTGAGCTAGTTAGACAATGCATTGTCAAATCAGTCACCCAGTGGTGTTACTTCCTTCACCCAGTGGTGTTACTTCCTTCACCCAGTGGTGTTACTTCCTTTGCTAGAAATCCATTTTTTTTGCATAATACAAAACAGATGTGAATTAAAAATGGGGCCATTAAAGAGGACTTATTATGCTCATTTTCAGGTTCATATCAGTATTTAGTGTCTCTACTGTGACATGTCTCCATGCTTTAATGTTCAAAAAGCTCTTTCTTTTCCTCATACTGCCTGTGCTGCAGCACCTATTTTCACCCTCTGTCTGAAACCAGGGCCCAGTCTGCTCTGATTGGTTAGCTGGCCAGCAGTTTTGTGAGTTTCTCCAGAATAAGTATAAATTGTGAGTTCAAACTGTTGCTTAAGTAACATTACAGTAGTACATATTATCTGAAATATTATCTTATCCTGTTTTTATCACTCACAAATACATAGGATATATTAAATCTTCAAGATTGTCAATGACAAGCACATGTTGTATACTGTTTGTAACAATTCAATAAGAAGTATATTGTATATGTAAACATGTCATGTTATTTATGTAAAATGTAACACCTAAGTGATTAGAAGTAGAAGCAGTGGCGGATCTAGACAAATATTCATGGGGTGGCAAGAGGGTGGAAGGAGAATTTGAGGGGTGGCATCCCCTGGCAGAAGTATATGCTGATTTAATCGCAGTCATATCAATTCATGTTAACTTGGAAAGCCACAATATTAATATTGTAACTCAATAACATTAGGTGACATTATTGTGGCACATCAGTAAAGCCTTAAATAGAAATATATAAGGTGGCAGACATCATTTAATGAGTTTTAACTGAACAATAACTGAATGAGTTTGTCTCACTCTTAGACCAGCAGGGGTACCAAATCTATGCAGACTGCTGCAATAAGTACATTAAATGTCTCGTCGATGTTTGTCTGTATGAATATGATACTATTAACAATCATATTATTCTTATCAGCTGTCAATCACTGTTATGATTCACATATTCAGTGTTATTATTAAATAAACTATATTTTTTGGAAGAGTTAATGATGAATGTTCCTCAAGATGCTTGCTCACCCTCCTTCAAATTTGAAAGACAAGTCATTACTATCATATATCAAAAGAATCAAAAGAACAGTTCAGCGCCCCACAACTTCATTGCAAACAGTTACAACCTTGACTTTACATCAGAAAGAACAAACATTGAAGAAGTGACTAACTGCATCAGTTAGGGTTAAAAAACGTGTATACAGCTAAAACATATACATCGCTGCAGTTATTATCCAGTGGAAAGTCCTTACCTACTGGCCTAGTTACATCAAAGTGGTTATTTTTTTTAGTTTTTGTAGTTGAGATTTTATCTAGTTAGACAGTGCGTTGTAACATCATTCAAACTCACCCACTAGTATAACTTTGTCTGCTATAAATCCATTTTATGATAATGCAAGTATTACTGGAAACACTTGCTTAAGTGTTGTCATAACAAACACAAAGTGTGTTTACCTGTTGTTGTTTTTACGGTAGCTGGGTTTGGTGGTGCCGTGGTCGGGGTGGCTCTGCTGGTGGTTAGGCCCACACCCAGGGTGTCCAGCTCTGCCTGGGTCAACAAGTTTCTCCAGGTCTCAACCGCGGTAGCATTCTCAAACACCTTCAGATCTGGTAGATTGGCTCCCACTAGGGCTTTCACGTCCGTCGCAGTCAATTTCTGCTCATTTCACACAAAACAATAAATGGACAGAAGTATTAACACATAGGCAACGATTGAAATATCATAGAAGTAAGTTGCTTAAATACTTATTACAAGTGAAAGTTTTGGTAAATTAAATTGTTTTGAATCTATGATGGATTTAGACATTTTAGTTTTTTAAATTACAGCTGCAAAAAATCAAACATTTCACAACTTTTTTGTGCTCTGTGGGGACATACAGTATGCTTTGTTAAAACAGAAAGGAGGGGAGATTGCAGATCACACCTTGCAGCCTGGTGTAATTTTAATGACTTTAAACCGAACCAAAGATTTGTAAATTGCACGTTACCTGAGATTATTTTTACAAAAAAAGTCTAAGATTGATAAAGCTATAAATTACAAGCGTCATTTTCTATCTCCCATTAAAGGTACTTCTCAGTAAAACCGTGTATGTCCTGCATTTGGGTCCATCCTTCTTAACTAAGAACTGGGTGTCTGTCGCGACGTTCCCAAAGCCCATGGTACGCACACTGTTTTGATTGCCAAAACTCCAATTAAAGCTTATCCCCATTGTTGCCGCAAAGAAAACAAAACAGATATCTTAAAGATTGTACATTCAAGCTAAGCTAACTAAGCTAACCCTGCTGGCTGGAATCATTTTGGGTTCTTCTAACCATTAACCCTCCTAAATGTATTACATTGTTAGCTTCAGGTAAGTAGTGTTATATTCAATATTTCCTAATATTTAATTGATGTCCTAAACCCGCTCTCTTGTCAACTCTAATACCCTTACAGAGATCACGTTGGGGTCCAGACTCTGGAAAGTTTTCAAGTCCATGTTGATGTTCTGTTTTGACAATTCTACTATATCTGTCAGAGGTGCCCCGCCTATCAAGGTAGAAAAGAAATACAGGAAATTAGAAGGAGTTTTACTGGACAAAGAAACAGCCAGAAATACATATCAAATTTACTCTTACCTAGATAGGGCCTAATTAAGTTGTAGTAAGTCGGATTGGAACTCTGTGAGACGAAGGAGATTTTACTGATCTCATACAGGACTTTCTTTTGCTCCGTTGAACATGACGCCAAATTCAAAGGTTTGGCATTTCTGGGGAAAAAATAACAAAATGTTAAGTCTGCATCATCACCAAGTGACAACCTCTGGGTCTGAAAAGTGAAGCCAATGCGAAGTACTCTAAGAAGAAGACCTAGTTAACATTATCCTGATGAGTTTATAGTCTCAGTTGTTGATACTGTCAAGCCTTCTACTATGTAGCTTCATGATCATTTTGCAAATAATGATCAGATTTAGAGTTAATAGGACAATAAAGCAGCATAAGCTTTAGTGCGTACATTGCTATCTGGCAAAGACAGATGTTGTTTGGCTTCACTATAAGAAACTCAAAGGAGATGGCTGTTAATTTTCCCAGGTAAAATAATTTGGTTTTAAGAATGTTCTCCCCCTAAGCCTAAGCAAGCATCTTAATCAACAGGTAATAATAATTTAAGATGTGCATTGCTAACCAAGTTAACTAGCTATACAGTATGTAGCTGTTAACTTTGGGGGACCTATTCTGCCTCAGCTCCAGCCTCTCGCCCAAATATGTCAATTTCTGGCAAAAAATAAATAAAAATAGCTCCTTCCAAAATTCCAAACTCAAGGTGGAATGTCTATGTATCCTTACCCTACATACAACAACCCACCTGATGCTGTCTGGCTTGATTTTCTCCAGCGAGCTGATGTCTAATGAGCACAGGTTGGAGTCAATGCTGTTCAGCTCAGTGGCGCCAAGGGAGTTTCCAGGAGTTTCCAGATACTTGGTGATGATTGCTTTGCTCTAAACAACATTGAAGGAATCAACACACATGAAAAAAAGGATACAGGCAAGAGTATATTTCACGATTCATGCTGTTTTTTATTGATTGTGTGGATTTGATAATCCCTCTATGCTGTACCTTTGCTGCCTCCCAGGAGCCATCTTCAGTTTTCATGAGTGCCGCCAGGGTGTCAACTTTGGTGATTGTCCACTTGGAGATGTCATCAAGTGTTGCCACACGAGACACTGAACCAAGCACCTGAACTTGCTCTTCAGGAACACCCGATGGGTAAGCCTGACAATGTGGAATATGGTAAATGTTATATAAATAAATTGATGTTAAAAACCATATTTTCCTATTACACATGACATGGCGACTGCTGTTCCTATAAAAACAAGTTATGCCCCTTTCACACCAACGCGGTTCCCGTTCTAGCTCCGCGCTAGAGCTTTTCTGGTTCGGAACCGGTTTTTCTTTTCAGCCCGTTTTGTTCACACCGCCCAGAGCCCGACTGGTGCTGCCGCTGCTGCGTCATGACGTCACCGTTTACGTCGCTGATTTTCTCCCCAACGGCGTTACTCACTACAACAACAATGGGTGACTGCGTCGGGTTGATGATCGTGTTGCTTTTAATCATATACGAAGCCAGATTAAATAAAATAACGACTTCTCCAACCTTATACTTTTCTCCAGAGTGCCGTGGTTCATTGTTTATTAATGTGTTTCATCTGCATTTACCGACCGCTGCAGTGCTGCTCTTCCACCGGAGTTTATTCTCCCGTTAGCTCCGGGTTAGCTCACACGGCAGCGGCCGTTGTAAAGTATTCACCAGACTGTCACACAAGCAGCTGATACATATCCCCAATTCCCCATAAGTGAATGTGTGTCAGTCTGAATTGACGCTGTTTGGCATCACAACGCTGTTATGAAAGTTTCTCTGGTATAAAATGGGTGATGTTAGCATAGCAACCGAAGGTAAACTGACAATCTTGACTGCTTGTTGTTGCTATCCTATTGTGGCATAAGCCGTTTTCTACAGGCACATTTTACCGGCGTATTTTTCATTATGATTCTACTTGTGATAGTCGGACATGACAACCTGTGCAGCCCATGTATTGATTCCATCCGATAGCTGCTATAATACAAAACAAAACGTCTGCCTGCTCTCCACAATGATCAATAACAGCGAACGGATGGTCAAAGTAAGGTACAAATAAACAGAATCACACGAAGCCTGGTTAGTGTTGCCTGACTTTATAAAGTGTGTTCTTTTTTACAAGTGTGTGGTTGCATTCTAGTCACTTTGCTCAGCGCTACTGCTTGTTACAACTTTTATTTGCCGTAGGCACCTACTCCCCTTTAACTGTTAGCTCAGGTTAATCTCGCCCCCCTCCGACGTAAGCGTGACGTATGCGGTTCTTGCTTCTAGACCAGAGTCCTGCATCGGGTCGGGTGACCCGCAAAAAAAGTGATTCGCGGGTGGTATTTTTTCAAACGCTTTTTTCCGGGTTCGGTTCTGGGTAAAACAAAGATGATGCGGGTCGGGTCGCGGGTGTTGCATAATAAATATATTAAAATAATAATAATTTAGTTTAATGTTTAAATCCTCAGACATCTCCCCCGCGGGACCGCGCATAATCATAACCTCTGCACCGCATCAATCTGCTGCTGAGCGCGCCACATTCGAAATGGCTGAGGTGAAGGCGGAGCTCGGAGAATACAGCATTGCCAATAACACTTCCTCAAGAGCGAAATCCAACGTCTGGAGGCTTTTGGTGTCATCCTAGATGGAGAAAATAACCAACATCCCACGCTTTTTGAGCCAAATATGCAACTGCGTGTGTTAATAATTGCACGTTTTCACTGCTCATAGGATATGCGGGTTCGGGTCGGTTTGCGGATCTTGTGCCGATGGGTCGGGTCGGTTTGCGGAACTAATTGGCAATATGTGCGGGTGGCGGGGCGGGTTCGGTATTGCACGTCGCGGGTGCGGGGCGGGAGCCTATCTATCAAGCTCACTAGTGAAAGTCAGCAATGTATCTTATGAGTTGGATAGAGAACGTTATCTATCTTTCGGTCTGTCAATCCATCCATTATTAATCCATCCATCCATCCATCCATCCATCTATTTTCTTTCTAACAAACTTAAAATAACCATGTGATTTTACAAATATATCTTCGAAGACATGAAACACACTTTTTTTGTCCAATTATTTCTTATTTCTTAACTCCATTACTAGCGTGTAATGGTATATGCATATCTCAAGAAATAGTGTACGTCTTACATTAAGTAATCTCGCAATTTCACATTGTATATGCAAATGGTACCTCGTTGAGTTTCCTCAGAATGACTGTCTGAAAGTCATTGTCGTCCACTTTCTGGCAGATAGAGTCCAAGCTGTCCTTTAGAACGGGGATGTCCAGGCAGAGGTCGAATTGCGTCAGGTCGTAGCCAAATGGGAAGGCGTTGTCACTGACTGTCACCTGGGTGATGTCGCCCACAGTGCAGCCTTGAAAATAATTGACCAGTGAGAGGGGAAAAGATAGTACAGTGAGATACACCAGTGTCTCTTTATGTAATAAATAGACACAACAAATACAGATGCTAACACTGTGGCTATCAGCCTCCTCCTTCTTTACCTGCTCCTCGTTTTGTCTTGCGGGCACTGATGTGTTTGAACAGCTTCTTGAGCTTACTCTTCCTCACTTTCTTCTTCCTCTGTTTTGGCATAAAGGTCTTAAGGAACCTTTTCTTTGTTTTCTTCAAAAGAAAAAGAAAAAATCAAGAATTGTTCTATTTAATCACGTGTCTCTTACAAGGTACTTTAAATTATGAAATGAGATGAATATTATTGGACTTAACAAGAAACAGGAAAAAGCTAAACACTTACAGATTTGAATTTGCCCCAGAAGTTCTCTGTTAAATAAAGAGGTAGCTCTCCGAGGTCTACCAGGGTTTTCGCATTCCAGGTGGTGACATCCCTGAAAACAGAAATGTTTTAAATTCTGTCTTTCTGCCTTGATACCTACTTGGTGGTGTAGGATGTCGATTTGGTGAATTAGCATTAAAGATCTATAAATATAAAAGTGCCTCCAAAAAAAGGTTGCTATGAGTTGTGGATAAAACATGTTATAACCAACACATTTGATAAAAGGAACAAAACACAAACAGTTTTTGTCCGTCTCGCTAAATTTTCTGATTCAACTACCCTGTATGTGGCACTCACCCCCACTTGTTCCCACTGAAATACAAAAAAGTGGCTAGTGGAGCCTCGCAGTGGCGAAACCGTGCCGCGCCACACTAATTGCGCCGCAGCCCTATGCGCCGCATTTGCGGCTCAGTTGAGGCTCCCTCCGCAAGATGAGGCTCCCTCCGCAAGATGAGGCCCCCTCCGCGAGGTGAGGCCCCCTCTGCAAGGTGAGGCCCCCTCTGCAAGGTGAGGCCCCACGCAGTCTGCGTGATCGGCCTGTAGGGAGGGACGGCCCTGCATGCTCCTCCGGGGAGATTTAAAAAAAATATTGAAGTTAAATGCATCAATCTGGTGCACCTTGAGAGAAAAATGAAGAGATCTATAGATACATCTCTGAACACCCATATAAAACGGAACAGTAAACCTAAACTGATTTTCTATTTCTTTATGGATATTTTACAAATCACTACCCTTTTAAACTATATTCTTGTTTTACTGTGTCATATAGTATTTCATACCTGTTTTTCATTTATTCTCTTATTTTTTTATACTGATCAAGTGATCATATAAACGTATGCCTCGGAAATAATTGTTTACATTAATCGTGACCAAACCGTTTGAGACCCACTATAACTTAAGTTAAGTTAACTATCTAAACACTGAGAGAGTTATTTACTTCACCTGAGCTGACGTTATCTCAACCTCTCAGTCTGACAGGAGAGAGTTCTCCCTCCACCTTGTTGTTGAAAAAGCTTCTTATATCCGTTAGCGTAGCTACAATAGCTAGCACCAGATGCTCTCTCTCGCTCGCGCACGCACACAAAATGGCTCGTGCCACAAACACACAGAGCCGAGCTTGAATGAAACACGGAGACCCAGAAGTACGTGTACTGTAGCATATTATTTTCGAATCAATCATTTTTCAAATTATGAATTTCACACATAAAAATGTAAAAAGACATACATTTCTTGGGGGTGCTTAGGGGGTGCTATATGGCTATCCTAGGGGGAGCTGCAGCACCCTAGCGCCACCCTGGCGCCGCCTATGCTTGTGCACAATGCATCCTGGTACATGAAGGCAAAGCTAGCACTGCTCCATGACCTAAAGGAACTCTGCTTCCTCTGTCCATATACTGTAGCAGGCATTAAGGAACGTATAGCTTCATTGTACTATGCTATGAACAATTTACATTTACGATCAACACCGAGAAGACGTGCACATTAAAGATGTGGAGTTTTGCCTAAAGAAATGAATCACAAATATATAGTTTCAGTTTTAAAACTAAAACACAGTGATAACTGAAAACACCTGGGAACAATAGAGTGGCGAAGTCACGCCCACTTACTTCCGGGTAATGGGACCTTATTTCGGAAAGATTATGCATTGAAGTCAATGAGGAGAGAAAACTTATCTTTCGATCCCGTTTGAATTGTGCCATGAATTACACATATGATGTTTGTCAATCTTAAAAAATAATTTCCATGTCAAAAAAGTCACAGTTTGTCGTAAAACTGTTGAAATATAAGACTTTGAAAAATACGTAACTAGAAAAACTACAAATCCCAGAGTCGCGTAAGTGATGTCACAATTGTTTACCTCCACCATTCAGATACCTAAGATCAGCGCAATATATATATAATCTATCTATATGGCGCTGGCTAAGATAAGATAACTTTAACAAGATGCCTGTGTGCTTAGTACCAGGTTGTTATTATACCAGCAATGGGTCTTGCTCGTTCTTTTGCTTCCCGTCTGATGAAACGACCAGGAGTGGCTTGATCAAGTTAGCTAACTAGCTAGTAGCTAGCACGTTAGTTAGCATTACAGCCTTGTCATTTTTATTAGCCTTAACATGAAGTAACATTAAGTAACCCAAAATGTTAAACAGTAAGAGTAGTAGTCATATTTCGTGAACCCTTTGAATAGTACTGTCACCGGTGTGATCATTCTATAATACACCATTTAATTCCGGGGGAGAAATGCTAACGCTAACGTTAGCATCGGCGATCTTCTCTACTTCATGCTATCTGCACAAATGGTTGACATTAAACATTAAAACGACCAGGCAGTTCAGAGAGAATCAAAGGAAGGCAGGCAGGCAGCTTTGCATGACATTCTTCAGGACGTGTTTCATTGTGGTGATAGTCAATCGTTTTGTTGACAAGACAGTAGTGACGGCCATCTTGGTGACGTCACGTGTGTTGTTGACCAGAGATGTAGTTCATTGAGCGTTTCACACAAACAAATGTGTTACTTCACAGTTTTACCACACATTTTTTTTTTTTTTACTTGCAAAATCATCTTTTAAATTGACAAACAACATATGTGTAATTCGTGGCACAATTCAAACGGGATCGAAAGATAATCTTTCTCTCTCCATTGACTTCAATACATAATTTTTCCGAAATAAGGTCCCATGGAGGTCCACCGGAAGGGGAGGGACTTCGCCACTCTATAGTTTGTCAAAAAAGTTATTCAATTATTATTATTTTTGTTTATGAACACATTTCTGCATTTGGTATACCACTATGCTCTGTGTTTTAAGGTAGTGATGGATCATGTCATCCAGTGAATAGTGTGGGGCACTCATGTGCTTTAGGTTTTAGGAGCTTGATGGAGCTTGATGGAATAAAATATGATTTTATAGCTGGTTTTGGAAACACAGAACATTTTTGGTTGGAGGATCGATTCATTTCTGGTTTTGGGCTTTTCATGGGATTTGCTGACATTGATAAGTATACATATTTTTAACAGCCTTATCATTTAAATTGCAATCCAAATGGCTGGACATTGTTTTTTTATAAAAAGTGTTTGTTTGCAAAAATATTATCGTACCCGTATTTTGTCTTCCCAGACAGCATCAGTTTCTCCATGGCAGCCACCTGGCTGGCAGAGAGGTCCTTGCAGGCTTTGAGTTTTTCCAAAATGAGAGAATCGCTGTCTTCGATGTAAGAACTGTTCAGAGTGCACACCATGTTCCCTAGCACCTCAACGTCGCCTCCGTTTAGTTTCACACCACTTATACCCTAGACAGTTAAAAACAAAGCATTTAATTAAAATTGTGCCACAGTGCCTTGACAGGCAAACATGTGTTAAACATATACACTAATATGGGAAATGGATTACTTTACAGAAACCAAATAACAATACATTAAAATGTCTGCCTTTGTCTTCAACATAACAATACGCATTTAATCCTAACGTTACTTTAAAGTATGCTAAACATCTATAGAGTGGTTCAGTAATGAGTCTTAAAACCAGGATGAGATATGAGTTAGCTTTTTACCAATTCCTGTTCCCATTTTGTCCTGCGTTAGTTAATACCCCACCGGTGAATGTCCAAAGCTTTTATGTGCCATAAAAAGTGAATACATTAAGTACTTTGCGTGCGGACCAGAAGTTGCGTTAACTGAATATTTTCTGTCTATGACGGATTTTATTTAACAAAGACGGAAAAATCTGAAAGCAGTCCGTCATTTTGACAGATTAGAACAAACTCGGAACAGCGCCAAAGTTTCCCCGCAGCGAGGCTCCGCTGTTATGCCGTGTTATGCATGCCCGCCAAAAAGGAAATGATACCGTTTCCAAACCTAACTTTGCCGTACTAATAATTGAAATGTCTGCGAGTTTTTTTTATGCTGTGCGCGCTCCCGCGAGGTGCAGTGGGCATGCATAACACGGCGCTAACAGTTCACGAGCGTGCGCCCCCCCCGCTGTTGACAGTTCACGAGCGTGCTCTTCCCCCGCTCGTCAGAGTTGTTTAAAGGCCGACGGGTTATACCAGTCCACCGCTTAACGGTAGTGACGTATAGCCATGCGGCCGTGGTATAGAGTGGCGAAGTCCCTCCTCTTCCGGTGGATCTCCATGGGACCTTATTTCGGAAAAATTATGTATTGAAGTCAATGGAGAGAGAAAGATTATCTTTCGATCCCGTTTGAATTGTGCCACGAATTACACATATGATGTTTGTCAATTTAAAAGATAATTTTGCAAGTCAAAAAAAAAGAAATGTGTCGTAAAACTGTGAAGTAACACATTTGTTTGTGTGAAACGCTCAATGAACTACATCTCTGGTCTCACAGAACAACACACGTCACCAAGATGGCCGTCACTACTGTCTTGTCAACAAAACGATTGACTACCCTCACTATCACCACAATGAAACACGTCCTGAAGAAAGTCATGCAAAGCTGCCTGCCTGCCTTCCTTTGATTCTCTCTGAACTGCCTGGTCGTTTTAATGTTTAATGTCAACCATTTGTGCAGATAGCATGAAGTAGAGAAGATCGCTAGCGTTAGCGTTAGCATTTCTCCCCCGGGCTTAAATTGTGTATTATAGAATGATCACACCGGTGTGACAGTACTCTTCAAAGGGTTCACGAAATATGACTACTACTCTTACTGTTTAACATTTTGGGTTACTTAATGTTACTTCATGTTAAGGCTAATACAAATGACAAGGCTGTAATGCTAACTAACGTGCTAGCTGCTAGCTAGCTTGATCCAGACACTCCTAGTCCTTTCATCAGACGGGAAGCGAAAGAACGAGCAAGACCCATTGCTGGTATGAACAACCTGGTACTAAGCACACAGGCATCTTGTTAAAGTCATCTTATCTTAGCCAGCGCCATATAGATAGATTCTATCTATATGGCGCTGATCTTAGCTATCTCTTAGTGGAGGAAAACAATTGTGACATCACTTACGCGACTCTGGGATTTGTAGTCTTTCTAGTTGCGTATTTTTCATAGTCTTATATTTCAACAGTTTTACGACAAACTGTGACTTTTTTGACATGGACATTTTTTAAGATTGACAAACATCATATGTGTAATTCATGGCACAATTCAAACGGGATCGAAAGATACGTTTTCTCTCTCCATTGACTTCAATACATTATTTTTCCGAAATAAGGTCCCATGGGGCGGAAGTAGATGGGCGTGACTTCGCCACTCTATAGTTTGATTTTAGCCTATCGCTTAACGGTAGTGACGTATAGCCATGCGGCCGTGGTATAGTTTGATTTTAGCCTAACGTTAGCTTTTTATTTCTGTTGATTGTATTTACCCTTCAAAAACAAAACATGTTAAGTATGATTAATGTGTGTTGGCCAAAAAAGCGTATTTTTCTTAAATATTCTGCAATCAAATCCCGTTGCTTTTAGTCGGGGAAGCCCTTGCAATGCTAACTTCCGGGACGGCCAACAAAAACACATCACCATCGCACCACTCTGTATAGCCTTAGGTAGGCCTACATGTTATAACTTACGGTTTCCATTTGGTTATTTAAGCTTAATTTGATTTTTTTTTGCAGTAAAAGTTATATTTTACAATGAATACAACAAGTTATAACACATTACATCCTTCCTTATAACCCTTAGCAAACATTCCTTTTAACGGCACTCACCAAGCAGTTCTTGGCTTCGCTGAATAGCCCTGAGTCTTTGTTCAAAACACTGGAGGCCACAGTGAAGTCTGCAGCACCCAATGCGGTAAAGTATGACCTGCAGTTGGCACCCTGGACATCTTTGATGCTGTAATAAACAGATATGGAAAAAATAAGAAAATGTGTTCTATATTAAGCCGATAAGGGGTTCATTAAAATAAAATGTTTCAAGGAAAACTAACTTTAGGTAGATGAGCATGTCTGATGGATAATCTGCAAAGTCCTGAGAGAGGTTTCCCTTGAGCAGGTTGTACATGCACGTCAGCTGTAGAAAATAATGCATCACTTTATTATAACTCAATCAAACAACCAATGTTTTCCTAAATGTATGACTCTGGTGTTATACATCATATTTATTTCAGTTATCAACTCAGATAAAGGGATATAGTAATTTACCTGTGTTTCCTCCAGCTTCACCTTTGCCCTGCCTTTCCTTGGCCTACAGGAACGGATCAGCCCTCGGACCCTTTTCTTTTTCATTTTCCGCACTGTGTTACATGTAAAGCCTTGCAGAACAGTTGGATTTAGCCTGCAGGGGGAAATTGAAAAAACACAATAACACAGGTAAATAGACTGTGAAAATTCTTCCGTGGGGAGAAAATATTTTTATTGTGAAAATTGTTCACTTACTCCTCGGTGTCAAAGTCTGTTTCGCCCAGTGACTCAAAAAACATGGCCGCCTAGAAGAACAGACAGAACAATGTCAAAAAATACTTCATTTATTAATTATCTCTTTAAAGCAACAGGCTACAATATGGTGACTTTGTCCGTGTATATCCTTTGTGTTAGAAAAGCTTGAAGTGTTTTGAGTCCTATATCTTATAACCTTGGGTAAAAACATTAAGGGGAGAGTTATTTGGTCTTTGGCTGTGTGTGTTTTTTTGGCAATTTTTCGCCTTTAGTTGAGTGATTAATGAGTAGAGTCAGAATGAAAACGACAAGCTACATTAAATAGGGGTATGAAATAAATAATAATAATGACGTTCCCACAGTTGGAATTGAGCCTGGGAGATTGTATTCATGTGACATTAGTGTATAATCTACTGCATGTATTTCCAGTCTTTGTGACCACCTAAAGTGCTTTCACATATACAAGTCAACATTCACCTATTCACATACATCCAGAGGCAGAGGCTGCCATACAAGGTGCCACCTGCTCAGAGACTTATGGCGCATTTCCACTACACGGTCGGCCTCGGCCACGCTCGGTACGGCTTGGCCGCGTTGGGCCTTAACAGGGCCGACTCACTTCATGCTGCGCTTCCATTACAGTTTAGGAACTGGGGTAGTTACTATAGTAACGCAGTGTAGGCGGAGCCGTGACGTCATCTTCAATGAGAACTCCAGAAAAACAACACAGCCGTTAGCTGTTAGCACTCAGAGCTCACAGCTCCTTATATATGTTCAGAAACTCGACAAAAGTTAAACAAGTACACACCACAGACTGCCTGTGTCATGGTGAATACAGTCGCTGCTTTATTTATGTCTGTATAGGCCGTTGTTGTGAGTGTGGACGGTCGGAGCATATACTGCGTTAGCTTAGCCAATCTCCATCTAGAAAAACACGCATTTTAAAAGGTTTTTCGCCTGCCGTCTGTCTGCAGACTTGACAAAGCATTAATTCATGGTTTTTACTAACCGGTATCAGTATGTTGTTACTTCGGCATCATTTTGAAACGTGTATTACAATTTTATCACGGTCAAATATGTCCATCTTGTTGTAGTTGTAGCCCCCTTGCCAGCGATGCTCTCTCTAGTTTAGCATACTCAGCCCGACTCAGCCCTGTTTGTTGGCCCCGATAGAACCACAATTTTGTCGGGCCAGAAAAGAGGTGAAAAGGTGGCCCCGGGGCGGGCCGGGCCGTAACTAGGCCTAGTGGAAGCGCAACCAAAAACGGGCACGGCACGACACGGCACGCTTAAAGCGAGCTCCGCGCTGTAGTGGAAATGCGCCATAACATTCACACAGAAATGTGGGGTTCAGAATCTTAACTACACTTTAAACTTTCAGCTACCAAGGCACTCCAACCCTGGATTAGACTTTGATGTTTATGTTTAACTCCCACCTACATGTAGCAGAACATAAAGTAAGAGGTAGTGTACGGGTTGTTGTTTAGTACCTTTCGGATGTTATTACATGGCTTAATTGAGTCCTCAATTCTGATTGGTTAATTTAGACATTCTAGAGTATGGAATATCTGCAGCTTCAGTTTAAATATGTTGTCTGTAGAGCTACGTACTGACCTGCTCTCCTGTCCATGTCTTCTTGTTGATCTTACTGATGTCCACAGGCCCAGAGAATACCAGCGAGGAAGATGGAATCTCAGCTGCCATGGCATCGGGGACATTCTGCACCACGCTGGCTGCACTTTGGTCAAGAGAGATGATCTACCAGATCACAGATAAGAGTCAAAATCAGAAATCATCACACAATACTCCTGTAAGTGAGTGAGTACATACAAAACAAGTCTAAGTTCTTGAATGCTATTTTCTGCATATAAACACATTTATATCCCCCGGTATTCTGGAACATGTCTTACAAACAGTATTTCCTGTTACCTCCAGTAAATAGGTACTCTCCAAATCGACAAGGAATGAAATCTTGAAAATTGGATAAATGGCATTCAATGGGTTTATATAGCAACACCTAACTATTTGCTACGTAAATATTTGGGGGAGTTATGTCTACTTGATCATAAAATGAAGTCACTATCCCTCTGTGTGTTGTAGTCCGAGTTAAAGCAGAACTGGGGAGAGTTTGGCAGAATGGATGGTTATAGCATACAATGTGACTGCACACTAGCATGCGCCTGTATTGTTCATCTTTTGTTTTCTTACGCCAAACTTTTAGAGAAAACCTTCAGTTTGTAAGACAACAGATTTAGTTTCCTTCACACCACTAGTAGCCAATGGACACTGCCCTAAACAGTTAGCACTGTTACATTATCTGCAGTGCTTGGTTGCATAGGAACAAATATAATATAAAAAGGTGGTTTGTAGTTTGTAGGCTACTCTTTAATATACAGTAGATAAGGCAGGGTATAACAATTATGTTTTTATCTTTGGTCAGCAATGTTGTGAGAGAATCAAAAGTACCTTTTGGACGAAGATCTGTTGGATGACTGTCGGGGCTGCAATCATGTTGTTAACAAAGACAGTGTTCTGAGAGATGCTGGATAGCTCAGTGGCTGGGATATTCTCAATCGTTTTTGAAGGAACTCCAGCAACGAGCGTGCCGAGGGATTCCAGACGCGATCCGTTGTTGATCTGTATACATTTATCATTGCCAGAGTCAGTAAATTGCACATGCAAAGCAATTCAAGTTAATTTAATTAACAACATTGAAAATCAGAACACTGTTGGGTTTTGAAGCATCTACTTTTTCTTATTACGTGGCTTAGTTGTATACTGGATTCTGATTTTTGACATTCCAGGGGTTGTTAATTTTCCCCAACAAGCCTCTTGTGGAGAAAAGATTGTTGCTAAGGAGAATCAAGGGAATATGTGCAGTCATATCGATCAGCATCATAAATATTTGTAGTCATGTCATTGTTTATGTAGTATGTAACTGTGTAATAATTGGGATAATATGCAGCGAGAAGTTACAACGACGTGGATTGTAAAGCCCTTACCATGTACCCTGAAGAAATCATTTTTTGGATAAATATATTGGCCTGGCCCTGGTTCCAGGTGCTGACTGAGCCCAGGGTGGACAGAGAGGAAACCATCACTGTGGGGGAAAGGGAAGAGATCTTGGTGTTGCTCAGGCCCGAACTTGCACTGCCCAAGGTCGAAAACGTCTCCGGTGTGAAGGTCTCGATGTTGGATGCCAGAACAGCTGATACCTGTTTGATGTCAGAGTGGGATGGGGAACGAGTTAAAGATGTGAGCAAGCTTGCAAAGGTAAGTTAACTGTACATACATCTATATTAGATCCAATTTTGCAAAGGGCACAAGTAATGGGATGACGTAATGCAGTTAGCATCTAACCAAAAGTGCAAAGAAGCAGTCAAGTGTAATGTATCTGTATAATATAAGTCTATGAATATTACAGATATAAAAAGCTAAATGATATACAGTATAAAAAGCATTAAAGGGGCAATATTATGCTTTTCATGCTTCTCCCTTTCCTGTAGTGTGTTATATAGGTTTAAGTGAATGAAAATGGTCTGCAAAGGCTAAAATCCCAAAGTTCCCTCCAGAGGGAGTTTCTCTCCCACAGATTCCCCCCACTGCCTGAAGTGCCTCGATTATAGTCCTTTGTTTACTTCCATAAAATAGTGACATCGCTATGTAACACTCGCACTTCTTTTGACCAGCGCTCTAATGGCGCTTTTCCACTGCAGGGCCTCGCTCGGCTTAGTACGGTATGGCTAGGCCTCGTTAGGCCTCGTTAGGCCTTGTTAGGCCAGTTTAGGAACTGGGGTAGTAACTATAGTAACGCAGTGTAGGCGGAGCCGTGACGTCATCTTCAATGCGAAACACAAAACCAACATCAGCCATTAGCTGTTAGCCCTCAAGCTCACATATCTGTTCAGAAACTAGACAAAAGTTAAACAAGTACAAACCACAGACTGTCTGTGTCATGGCGAGTACAGCCGCTGGTTTATTTATGTCTGTATAGGCCGTTGTTGTGAGTGTGGACGGTCGGAGCATATACAACGTTAGCTTAGCCGACCTCCATTTAGAAAACACGCATTTTAAAAGGTTTTTCTCCTGCCGACTTGTCAAAGCATTAATTCATGGTTTTTACTAACCGGTATCAGTATGTTGTTACTTCGGCATCATTTTGAAACGTGTATTACAATTAAATCACGGTAAAATATGTTCATTTTGTTGTAGTTGGCAGCGATTCTCTCACTAGTTTAGCATACTCAGCCCGGTTGTTGGCCCGGAAAGAACCTCGATTTTGGAGAGCAAGAAAAACGGTGAAAGAGTACCCGGTAGCCGGAACTACGCCTAGTGGAAACGCAACCAAAAACGGGCCGGGCACGGCACGGCACGCTTAAACCGCGCTCCGCGCTGTAGTGGAAATGCGCCATAACATAGTATGTGAGAGGCTAAGGGATGGGACATCTCTAAGCGGTTGACCAATCACAACAGAGGCGGCCAGCTAACCAATCAGAGCAGACTGGGCTCTGGTTTCAGACAGAGGGTGAAAAGAGGTGCTGCAGCACAGGCAGTATGAGAAAAATAAAGAGCTTTTTAAACATTAAAGCATGTAAACATGTCACAGTAGAGGCATACAATACAAATATGAAACCTTAAAATTGGCATTATAGGACCCCTTTAAAGTACTATCAAGGTAGTAGAAATATACTGTACTGTACACTTAAGCAATAGCTCACGACAGGCCGTGGTATATGCTCATTATATCACAGCTAAGGGGCGTGGTTCGGCCCGACGCGAAGCGGAGGGTCGACAACCCCCTTAGCTGTGATATAATGAGCATATATCACGGCCTGAAGTGAGCTATTGCTTTTATAAAACGGTTACCAAGTGTGGCAATATGAAAGAAAAATACACACTCTAATTTAAATAGTTTTTATTAGTAAATAATGATGTTCAAAATAAAATAGTCCCTCTGTTGCCTTCTGCACGAAACATAGTGCGAGGTGGTTGCTATGCAACAACACTAACAACAGCTAGCGAACATATTAGACAGAGAGCGTTGATCCATTATTTGGCTATTTATTTACATTAATGTGTATGTTACCGTTTATTGTGCACCCACTGAAAAACTGTCCAGCATCAGTAGCATGGCTTACGTGGTTACTTGTATAGGCTGAGGTTGTTCTAGGCTGTTGCTTGGTGTGGCGAGAATATTGCTCCACTTTCTCCGGTCCCCGAGATTCGGCTTCCAGTAGCTCTGGAGAGAGCTTTCGCACCTGTGGCCACTAACGGTCATAATTTCTCTGCTTTGTTTCAAGACCCGGATCAGAAAGCTTTTGAATGGTGATACTTTTCCAGTTGGTCTACCTGCTCTTCACGTAGCTCTACATGTCGTCGTTTAGGTGCTTTTTGTTCTGGAGATAGGCACTCCTCAATCCACTCCTCCATAGTAAAACCTCCCCCCCCCCGGAGGTCGAAGTTAATCTTAAATGTTTTTGCGGACCTTTTTGATTACAGATTTGAAAACATCGTTGCTTGCTTTAAAAGTAGCACAATTCATTATGTCAAACCTTGGAAAGTATCTAGATATCCCTGCCCTAATGCCAAAGGAGCTGCACACTGAATATGTTTTTGCCGTTTGATGTCTATGTCTGGACCGTTGCGTAAAAAGGAGGGTTTCTGCCCGTTACTTCTCCGCTGCTTTCTTGTTCCAGTTTGAAAAGCAAGCTTTTCAGCCCAACTGTATACTGTTTATCTCAGACGCGGAGGGATACTGAGTTGTTGTGAAAAGTAACTTACAATTCTACCCGTGGTATACGCTCAGTATACCACGGCTAAGAACCAATCAGATTGCTTGATTTTACTTGTCCGTTTTATAAAGTATAATATACACTGCATAGAAAGTAGTATAATTATGAAGTACACCATAGAAGAAAATACTGGAATGGACCATTGTATAAAATAAACACATGACAAATGTGCTAATAGTCAATCACTCTCAAACTCATTAGACTTTTTACTGTTTACTGGTTTATTCTCCAAGTTTTGGTGTAAATTCAGGGTAAAAGCAAATTATACAACAATAAAGAACTTATATTTTATACTGTAATTGTGCAATTAAAACTTTGGACAGGAAGCTGATAAGGTTCCACCCCCGCCATGTCGTTAAGAAATGTAATATCTTTGTTTTTTTTGGTATATATTGTAATGTTCAACTGTTCCGCAAATTCCTAACCAGGCTTCTTAGGTGCTGAGAGACACAGTGGTTTATATTCAGGTTTCTGGCTCAGTAGGAGCATTTTTTTGGGAACTGTAAAGTTCATTTTCCTAAATCCCCAATTTAAAACGTATCTTCAATTCTGGTAATTGCAATTATGTTTAGCCTTACTAGGTTGCGTCACTTTTGCTGTTTTCCTGTTTTGTTTTGACTAAAGCCCCATTTATGCATTTTAAAGGTTTGTGAAATGACAAACAATGTGATCAGTGATTTTTGTGTTTAACGCATAAGTCAATCTCTGTTTTTTTGTAGAAAGCATTGGAGCTGGTACCTCAGAATCCTCTGTTCCATTGCAGGATTTCTCGAGCTCCTTCAAGATTTTGATGGTGTCAGCTTCACTAGCAGAGGAATATGCTGAACTTGGGACCTCAGGAGAGCACAGGAAAGAACCTGGAACCCTATAAGAATAATACAAAATAATATTTACAGAAGGACAAATATTCATCCCTAAAATGATTTGGATGCTCTGTATACATGGCTGACATTATCTTTTTTGCTAACCTACCACAGTAGCTAGTGGTTTTCTAAAGTTATTAACCACTTGTTACTTGGCAGAAGATAACACGCTGATTCTTAGGGCCTGTTTAGATGCTTACCACAATGTATTTTCAGTACATACATTATATGCAATGCATTTTAGCTGTATAATGGACTATATAAACCGATATAGACTATATATAAGCCTATATAAAGTTGATTTTCCGCTGTTTAATTCTGCCCACATTTAGCGGCTGGGTGGGTGCAATGGGACAATTCAAAAAACATATCTTGGGAAATAAGTGGATACTCACTTGAGAGGGTTGAAGGTGGGGTTGAATTCAAAAAGAGTCAAGATGTAGTAGTCGATCACAGTTTGTGGAATTGCTGCGTTTTTAAAGAGCTCCAGGTTGGCTTGGTCGACCATGAAAACTTTAGCCTTGAAAAATATATCAAAACATAGATTAATAAATTATTCTTCAAAATGCCTTTGGTTTTTTAAACAAAAGTAGATTGATAAGTAAAGTGAAAGCTTTGTCTAGTTTAATTATATCAACAATGTCTTTATCTGAGTTTAAGCGTTACTAGTAAATGTACTAAAACAAATATCAGGACATACTTGACTGGGGGAGATGAAGTTGCTGATATCATCAACAGTGGCAAACGTCATAAAGTTGCCAATGTTATTGGCAAACCACGCGGTAGAATTCAGTTCTGCATCATTGTCGTTGTAGCATCTGGCTTCAGAGCCTATGAAACAGGGAAAACACAAAACATTTAGGATTAGGGTTGGAGAAATGTTTATCTTTTTAAATATTTGAGCCATCACAATGACAATACTAACATGCTTACATTTGGCAGATACAGTATAATGTTAACCATCTTTGGTAAGCATGTTAATATGCATTTCATAACTGGCACATAACCCAAAGTAGGCTAGTAGTCAGCTTCGGCTGAAGCTGATCGGAGTAATTGTATACGTTTTCCAGGAAGATTAATTGTCATGGCGTTTTTTAGGAATCATTTTCTGTATACAAAAAATAGATTTTCGACAGCCATCATTGCCATCCCTAGAGCCTAAGGGCTATAATGGATACAAAAGTGAATGTGCCACAAAAGTCATTTGTGATGGAAATGTAGTTCAAATAAATGTAAAGGGGCACAGGGATGTCATTTATTATAAAAAAGCTAGTAGTCTTATTTTATCGTTTAAAGTAAAAAGTATCAAACCTTACTAAAGTATATTCTGAAGAACTACATTATCTAACACTAAATCAAAAAGGCTTGTTCTAGAAAAATATATCATTTCTGTTGTGCTCTCCACCTTAAAGGTAGGGTAGGTAAGTTTGAGAAACCGGCTCGAGATACACTTTTTGTTATATTCCATGGAATGCTCTTAACATCCCGATAGCAATGAATATCTTAAGTGCTTTGACAAAAAATCCATAAAAAAATGTCATCTGTGGAAGCCGTAATACTGTAAAAAGTACGACCAATCATTTTAGCCGGCCCAGCTAAAATAACTGGATGGCCTACCTGCCTGTCAGCCTTCCATCTGTGCACAAACTTATCTCGTGCCCTCATTGGTCATGTGCGCGTTCGTGTGTGTTGGAGGAGGGGCTCTATAAGGAAGTGGCAGATTTTCTCCGGTTGTGTTATTTCAAATTCTAGCGATCTCGAGCCGGTTTCTCAAACTTACCTACCCTACCTTTAAGAATGTTAGACTAGACTTGGAAAGTCAGTATTAAATCCTTTAGATCTACAACTCAAAAATGAATCTTACCATTTCCCAGATAGGTGCTGATTGTGGTGTATACCTCAGCCTGTCCAAACTCAGAGTTGTTGTATGTGAAGTTATTTCCCATTACAGAGACCCTATTGAAAGCAAAACAAATTCAATGACAGCCCTGTTGTCACTGAGTTTTCTAACGCTGTGAGAAAAAAAGAGACTTACAGTTTTTGGAAGGCAAGACATGAAGCATGCTGCACTTCGTTGGAGCTGATGAGGGTCTTGGTGAGGAATCTAAAATATTTAGTCAACCGCACATCAAACCAGGAATCAACCTCGTCACGGTTGTTGCTGCTCAGCGCCAAAGGCCAAACACAGGGGAGGGTCATCATCTTCACATCATCTGGAACATCCTCCTAATTGCATACACATACATTTGCACATTTAACGAGAGGCTGGTATAAAATGTGGTATTTTAAACAGATTATGTATTTTATGCAAATGTTATCACATTGTTAAAAATACAAATATGTAAAGATGGTATGTCTTATCAGTTATAATGTAAGTTAAGTGGCACTAATCAGTCGAGTGACATACAGTTTCTAGGAAGGCAGCAGTGTTGTTGTAGTTGTTGAATATGACACAGATGTCAGATTCGTTGCCAATCACATTGGGTCGACTGAGGAACTGATTCAGCTCTGAGGTGCTGATGGTACTTAGGAGCTGTAAGAAAGAAAAAAAAATATATTGTTGGAAAACTTGTACATATTTTAATATAACTACTAGAACAGCGCCCCATCTACGGGCATTTGTATTAAAGCCAGCACAAGGGCGGTAGCTTAATTTCATCCTCTAAATACAAAAAAGGTAATGTTTTGATTACCTCTGGCTCTCGTGTTGGGGGCAGAAGAGACGTGAACGTGGACAAATCTGGAAAATCAAATCTGTGGAAAGTGTTTCTCAGATAGATGTAGAAGCTTCCACCCCTGTAACACTCGAGGGGCGTTGGACCTGTTTTAAACAAAATAACCTTTATTAGTTTCTGAGACATATTGCCAGAGAAAAAAAATACTGAAATATATAAACTTTACAAACCTTGAAGGGATTGCAGAATATTTGTATTGATCTCTCGTTGGGTGTTGCTGCTGAGTGTCAAGCGGTGTGTGTCCAGCAATGTAATTCTAAATTCAGATAACAATTAGTCTGAATCAATTTAAAAATACATATCATCACATTGACCATGACCCTCTAAAGAAATTCTTACATCTTTTCGCTGCTGTTACACCCCCTTTTCTTCCCGATGTTAAATAAGGAAGTCACCAGGCTGGGAGAGAGGTTAACCAGAAGAGGGCTCAGTCGCCTGAGCCACAGCAAGAACTCTGTGTCACTGATAACTGGAGAAGACAGATTCCCTCTGTCATATACTTCCTGGAGGAAGGCAGATTTCACCTCCACTGTGAAGTTGGCTGGGTGAGTCTGGGGAAATATGAATTAGTATACTATTAATATAAGTTATACACAAACGTTGGCATGAGTTATTTTATGATATTCACCTGATCATTCAAGAGTCAATATCTAATTGATTCCACCTTGTGCTTTGCAAGGTGCTTCCACAATGCCTTTTTTTGTGTTGGTATTTACGGCTAGAAGATAAGTTCTACCAATTTGCTGTCTTTGGAGCTGTGAGAGCAACTGGCTGTATGAAAGCGGCCTAAGAAATACATTTTTATAAATACTATCACTGCCAAAAAGTAAAAACAGTACTGTTCTGCAAGTCAAACTATGGAGAATAAATACAAATAATTCTGAGAGCCACATATATGGTGATAGCTAACACTTTTTAGCTAGATTATTAGATAGGTGGCAAATGTAAGCTTCCTAACTGATGCATAGGCAAAGTTAGCTAGCTTGTTAAGTAGATATATCACTTTTTCTACCTAGCTTGTAGAAGTAGAAAGCTAATGCTCGCTAGTTAGTTTGATAGATAGCCAATGTTTTCATTTCATTTAATTTCAAACCTTTATTTATCCAGGTGTATCCCATTGAGATCATTGATCTCTTTTTCAAGGGAGACCTGCTGTTTGCTATCCATCTTTTGGATTGACCGACAGACAGACAGACAGACAGATAGACAGAAAGATAGATAATGTTCTAGTATCCAGCTCATAAGATACGTTGCTGACTTTCACTAGTTAGCTTGATAGATATATATGGGATTAGTTTTGTGTCATAAAGATAAAGCAACACTTTCTCAGTTTCAAGCAAAACTAAGAGTTTTAGAGAAAACTAAAACTGAGTCAAGCTAAATACATTTAATTTAAAAAATAAAACTATAAGTTGCAAACAAATCATGTGTATTAACATATATTTTTGTTTGCAGTTCTTTTTGATCTCAATGATCAGACTTTTGCTCTCGCTGCAGCTCTTCTCGTTTGCGCTCCTTCATTTCTTGTTTTCGATTCTGACACAAACGTCCCAGGTGGGCATGACTTTCAGGGGTGCGGCCCCATTGGCTACTCAGTTTTTGAGTGACAGCCCAGTCCTCCAGCGATTGTACAGTGCAACTGCTTTAGCTGAGCATGGACAGAAGACCCCCTGAAGAACCAGCATTTCAATTATTATAATACTACAAGTGAAAATATATGAAAGTATTGATCATTTGTGTTGTTTGTGCTGTACTATACGGTCTATTTCTTTATTGTGTTAAATGAGAAGTAAAGAAAAGCTGTGCTATGAAAGTTAGCTTTTGCTAACTTTAGATCCATAACAATGCAAGCTAAGTAGCCTAACAGCAGGGACAGTTAGCTACATAGCTAGCAGTGAGTGAGCGTTCAGACACCGGCGCACACACTCAAACGGACTCGTATGCCTGACTACCAACAGGCTTTCATGATTCTGTTTAGATATGCAAGTATAAGCTATGATAGCTTATTTTATTAACACGCTAATTTGATATGAAAATCAATGGAGGCTGAGTTTACTACTTCTCTATGTAGGAAACCTACCATCCATGAATGCCCCTGAGCTGAGTTTTATTTGTTAACTTCATATTTTTCATTTCCTAAAACATTTATTTTCCTCTCATATTAACAGTGTGGATCATTGAGACAGCGTGGTGTCCAGAGGTCTTATCCCGTTTTCCCACTTCCTCTGAGGGGACAGCATCAGATCCACGGAGGGGGGGCATGAAGAAAGACCTGCACCAGCTTCATCCACACTGGGCGTTGCTGTTATCACTGGCTCAGTGTCATTTCATTTGACCAAATGTCTTTACATATACATTTAATAGATTTGATTATTATCCACCTTTTTGTTTTATTTCGTTTTATTTAAAAAATTCTTTGAAACTTCATCTTCTGGTTCGAATTTCAATAAATGTAATTTGTATAATCACTCTTTTGTCTTTATTCTACATGAAAATGTGATTATTCATATCTTCCTCAGGCTAGGAATAGTATGTCGAATTTTGAATGCTAAATGTATATCATTTTCTCACAGGATATAGAATGAGACAACACAGTTTTTATCCATTGTGTATGAATAAATGCTTCAGCTCTTCAGACAATCATAGTAAGATGTGAGCATGTTCCTAATTTTGTTGGTATGCAACCTAGGTCTGGTCTGTTTAATAAAGCAAATCTGCCACTTTTATATTGTAGAATTTGTTAAATTAAAGCAGTCTTTAATTGTTTGTCCTAAACATAGCAATATATGCTTTTGAAATGTAACATGTCTTTGAAAAAATAACAGTATACAGTTTATATTGTGTATCACCTTTAGCTTGAAAAAACATAGATGTGTTTTTTTTATCTATAAAATAAATAGATAGACAGACACTTTATCGATCCCAAATTGGGAAATTATTTTACAGCAGCAGTGTGTTCAGGTGTTCAGGTATTAAAATATTTAAAGTTGGAATAAAGTATAAACTACACAACAAGCATAATGCACAGCAATCCAATATTTTCATGAAAACTCCCCAGGAGGCACCAACACAAACGTGGCCGAGTGGACTCTGCTGCATGAGTTGCACTGTATGATCTGTGGTGTAGTGGGCTGTCACTCAAAGAAACTGAGTAGCCAATGGGGACACACCCCTGAAAGTCCCGCCCACCTGGGACGTTTGTGTCAGAATCGAAAAACAAAAAATGAAGGAGCGCAAACGAGAAGAGCTGCAGCGAGAGCAAAAGTCTGATCATTGAGAAAGAAGTAAAGAGAACTGCGAAAAAAAATATATGTTAAAACAAAGAAAAAATACTTATAGTTTACATGATTACACAAATGATTTGTTTGAAATTTATAGTTTTATTTTTGAAATTAATTTTTTTTCCTCTTAAACTCTTAGTTTTGCTTGATTCTGAGAAAGTGTTGCTTTATCTTTATGACACAAAACTAATCCCATAGGTATATGGCAAAACTTCCCTAGCTAAATTGCACACTGACAGACTGACAGACAATGTTTATTGAATTTGGTCTTTAAGTCAACTTGTTTTTATAGATTTCAACACTGTGGACCTTTATACATTACATCCATATGAAAGAGTCATTTAAAACTGTTGACATGTTCTTAATTAACAACACAGTCTCACGGCATTTCGTGTTATAGTCACAAAATTCATCTATTGATTCGTGTTCACCAACACGATTTCGCAATTTTTTTCGTGTCACACTGAACGATTTTAAAAGCAATAATAATAATAATAACAAATTAGAAGGAAAAACAGATTGAAAAAAATACAGATTTCAGTATTCTGACACAGAACGATTTTAGAAGCAATGTATTTCTATTGGAAGTATGTTTCGTGCCTGCACCAAATAATAACAAATTAGAAGGAAAAAAAGATTTCAGTATTCTGAGGCTCTGAGCCCCATTTCTTTTCCTTGCGGACGGCATTATACAATTTAAAATAAAAGTGTTAGGGTGAGGCTTAGGGTAAGATATTGAGTAAGAAAATGTTTTTATGAACCACACAGCTTCCGGTCTTCCAAGACCCAACCGGACAAAAAGACGTGGTTTAGGCACGAAACATACTACCAATAGAAATACATTGCTTTTAAAATCGTTCTGTGTGACACTGGGTTGTAAGTAACGAGTCTGATGATCGTTGTACTTTGTTACTTTCCGTAACCGGTGTTCCTCAAAGCTGCGAGTGCTAAACCGGGGAGAACTAACACATATGTGTTTCAACTGGGAGTGGGAATAGGGGCAGGCCCACATAAGGTGAATATAAAGCAAAATAGCCTGTTTTCCATTGTCCCTGTATGACTGAGAGTTAAGCAGGCTCACTGGTTACTTTATGTGCTACTGAAGAAACAGGACCACCCCATTCAGCACCAACAATAACCAACCTTGACATTTGCAGGTAATTTTAAGATGTTGAAAATGAAATGCCACAGTATTTAGCTGTGTTAGCCTAAGTGAGCTTAAGAAGTAGCGTTAGCGAGTTGTTGCTGGTATCTTCAACAGGCCATTAATTAAGACAATATATTAATACATCTTTGTAGCCTATAAATGTAGTGTTTGCTGTTGTTCACAGGTAATGCCTTATTAATGTTACTGCTACAACTATAACTACTACAAGCTTGCTTTTCTTATGCTACCTTGTTCAACCAGCTACAATAGGCACCTTAAGCTAGCAGCTTCAACTTCTTCATGTTTGGCTCTCATTATGTTAATTCAAATCCCTTTCAAAATAGTATAGCCTTAGTGACATTAGTCTTTATTTCAGACCTGGTGTGTTACATTGCATTAAGCTAGGTAAATATTTAGTGTATTATGATGAAAGTGTGTTTCAGTTTGACTTTAAAATATATACTTAAAAAAATTGCACCAGAAATGGGTTAATATTAGGCATAATTTTCCTGCAGTGTTTGCTTTCAGGTGGATTATAAGGAATTGTATTTGAACATCTTTCAATATATTGATGCCATGTGTTTGTGTGGAAAAATGAAACAATGTGAATATTATTAGGCAAAAAAGAAAATCTCAGCTATACAGATGTTTACCTCAATGGCTGGTGAGACGATGTCAAAGAAAGCACCAAAGTTGACAGGGTTGATGACTTTCATGATATTTGTCACATCCATCTTTGTCTTAAGATGTGAGGGAGTTGCTGCGAGCTGAGCCAGCTGACTGACAGTAAGAAGATATGCAACCTCCACCTAGTGACAAGCAGTACAGTATTACAGTAAGTAACACCAAAAACATGTGCAACCTACTGGATAACGGAAAAAAGTTCCCTTTGCTGTTACATTTAGATTGTCTAGGCTTGTCTTACAATCACAAGACGAGTGGGTTCATGTTGCTGCACATCCGGGAAGTCAAGTTTTAAGTAATCATGGTAACACAATTGATCATTTAACATTGATTTAACATTTATTGAACAACAACTGGTTTTAGTTTGGGAGTTGAGCTCTACAACCAAGATCCGCTACTTACTGTGGAGAAGTTGGAATTTAGAGCTTGCAGATCCTGAAGTTTTGCAAAACCAGAGAAGTTGCCAAAGTTGCCCTGAAGCCACTCTTTACTGCCTCTGTTGAAGGAGACACAGCCAGGATCTGCGAAGAAGACAGAAACAATGACCATGGCAGGGTATACCAACCACATGCCATGAAAACTTGACCTAATTGAGCCTGAGTGCCTGCGTTTACCTGATGAGTCATTTCTTGAAAGGAATGGCCGGATGAAATGAGTGTAGACAGCTTGCTGTTGTTCTCTGTCCATGGATGCCATTTGACTGCTGAATGCCTTGATGCTAAATATTGAGAGAAGGCTGTAAACATCTAACCAACTAGAAATAGGCAGGTTCATCTGCCATCAATGTTCACAGTAGAGCAATGTATCACATGTTTGCTTACACAGTCTGGTAGGTCTCGCAGCTGAAGTTCTTGGAGCTGAGGCAGAATAGGAAGTTGGGGGTTGTGGAGGCCAAAAACGGACGAATATTTGTCTGGAACCAGCTGCTGACAAAGTCATCACTCTGCAGTTGTGTCTGGCTGAAGTTGGCAATTCTCACCTCTCCGAGAGCCTCAAGTGCATGTGACAAGGATGGTTTGCTGTTGCCTGGTGCCTGGAATTTGGAAAATAATTTTGGTTTGACAGAATTGGCACGGGAAAACACCAATTTTGTGATAATGTGGCATTTACCATGGTTGCGAATGTCTCAAGAGCCTTGTCTAGTTCAGGAGAAGCTTTTTGGAATAAAAGCTTCCAGACCTCTGTCGGGTATGTCCTGTTGCTTGCCAGTGTGCATTTCATCAATGTGACCAAGTTGCTGGCTGTTAGATGTGTAGCCTTGGAAAGAAATAGACAAGAAATAAAGCAAAGTCTCTCAGAGCCTATGGCTATTAGTTTCAGGAGGCTCATGTAGCAAAAGCCAAATCTTGTTCTGGGATTGATAGCTTACATAAAACAAACTTACCGAGGAACAAGCATGCTCAGTGAGGGTAAAACGGCACAGCGCTTCATAGGAATTGTAAACAGATAGTGTTTCTTGGACATGTGATCTGAGGGGAAAAACAACCATTTAACCTTAGTTAGATTGTGTAAAAGAACTCCGCAAACCTAGCACCGGACAAATCTGCTATACACTTACCTATTGACTGCAGCACAGATGAGGTTCTCTGTGAAAAGACAAAAATGCGTATCAGATATTGTATCTTTGCAATGCAATCTTTTCATCAACGTTTTAATGTCTGGTAAATGACAGACTTACCGTTGACCGGGGTCTTCTTGCACTGGAGAAAAGCAAATCATAATTGTTAGTTTAGTGGCAAAAGTTTGTTTAAGTTAAAAATACCTCAATGAAGCTCCTTAATATAAATCATTTTTGTATGCCAAACGTGTGTCCTGTAAATTTGTTATCAACTATTGCAACGCCTTTTCCATGTTATATCCCCATGTTAATGAACTCACCATGAAGGAGTCTGGAAGTGAGCAACCTGTTTGGAAGAAAATGTAAATGAAGTTATGTCATCAATACAGCTATCGTTACAAGTAATGGTAATTGGGTTTTCTAAAAAAAAAGTTTGTTAGCAGAGTGTTTTGAAACGTACGTGTGAATCTTTCCTTCAGTGACTTTATGCTTGATCTCAGGCTGTCCGAAAGGTGCAATGGCAGGGATTCCAAACTTTGCCCAAGACCACCGAGTCTGAAGAAAGAGAACATCAATCTTTGTCACTTGTCTGGTGCCAACGTTTGAAATCATCATTATGCAAACCTATAATGTCTCACTGTGGACTTTAGAAACATCATCTCTTACATAGCTCTGTAGGAGTGACAGCTGATGTTATTGGGGATAACCGCCAAGCTGCCAGGGTGGAGGCTCGCCAAGACAGGAGCCAACTGGTCCTGGAACAACATCTTAAAGTCTTCAGCCTCAAATTCTTCAAATTCAGGCGCAAGGGCCGTCAAAGTCAGACTCAAGATTGTGTCTCGTACACCTGGATTTTTGATGAGGGTGATGTTTTTCTGGAAATAAAAGTATACATGTTTCAGCACAGGAGAACATTTAGATTCCTGAAATGATTGTAGAGGTTAGAGCAAGTTTGGTGGCTCATCTTTGCAGTCTAATGCATCGGGAAAACAGTCAGGCCACCATAATTGCAAATCCTTTAACATCTTAAGTGTTACATAGATTTTGATTCAATTCCTGGCCTTTTTTCAGGTTCTGCAACAATGTAACCATCTCAGGACAATTGTAACATGGCCGGCTTGCCAGCACGCTTTTTATGAAAATAGGCCAATTCCAAAGTTAAGCATTCACCTGCTTGTTGGCTTTTGCAAAAGCAATTAAAAAGTGTTCAAACTCCTCATCATCAGGCGACTCTATCAAGCTCGTCAACACCTCCCTTAGGAAGGCCTCATCCTCCAAAGCTCCACTGTCTGTATCCAATATCAGCTCAACCTTCTGCTCTGGTGAGAGGGAGTCCACAACTGCCATCTAAGGATACAAACAAAGAGGATATACCACTTGCTTTTCACCGTGACGTGCCAGAACAACTCCCGCGTGCAGATTTTCCATGTTCTGAATACTGTGTGGTTGTTTTCAAGGAATATTGCTAGCTTAATGTATGACTTACCGCAGAGAGGTTGAAGGCTTTGAGGTCAGAGTATGTTACTTGTTGGGAAAATGCACCCAAGTATGCTTCAAGCCATTCCGCATCACTCTGAATTCCCTGTCTGCAACCTAAGGCAGGTAGATAGACATTAGCATGGGTACCATTTAGCAAGCTTTATTTTTCATCGATACACATGGGACAAGTTGAGTGCCAGCCAGTGTTAGCCCTACCTGGCTTGTTGATGACACTGGCAGATTTGTCCAGATGGCTTAGCAAGGCTTTTCCAATGCCTTTTCGTTGTCCCTTGGACATTGCAGGGGCAGCATTGCTCATCCCACTCACACTGCATGGGATGAAAAGAAACATTATTATGCAGTCCCACTTTAGATGTTGAATTCTCTGCAATGCAAGCGTATTTGTTTGTAAAGTGCTACTCACACGACTTGGAAGTTTTTGCAGGAAATGGTGGTGGTTGCACTCTTGATCATCATTGGACTGAAACTTGGGAGGACAGGAACCAGGATCTTATGGAACCAAACAAACCAGTCTTCTTCCATAAAGTGTGTGAAATGGGGACTGATAATGCTGAAGGTCCGATTCATTACACGGTCTCTCACAACAGGTTGGAAATCCGGGCCCTGTGAAATGACAACATTAGAGGGTTTAAAAGACATACTACACTATACATGATGCAACAAAGGATGTAACACTATATTGGAAATGATAGAGTCCTCGACAACTATTGTAGAGGATTGCCATTCCCAGGATTGCCATTCTTACTCCGATTTCAAAGGTGGCCTACCTTTCCATTAGCTGTCAGCTGTGTCAGGAATTCTTCCACATTTTCCAGAGCATCGCCCTCCTGGAGTCGCTCAAACACACGGTCAATGTGGTCGGTGTCATTCAAGGCCCCTGAGCTCAGTGTCAACTCTGCCACCTGAGTGGGAGTGAGCAGTGGCAACAATTCGGCCTACGGAAGGGAATCAAGATGAAATCATAAAGCATCTATTGCAAAACCACAGGTTAGACATTTCGGTTTGGAAGAAGAATATTACAACCGCTATCCGCCACTTACGCTGGAGAAGTTGGCATTGAGATGTTGCAGATCCCGAAGTTTTGCAAAACCAGAGAAGTTGCCAAAGTTGCCCTGAAGCCACTCTTTACTGCCTCTGTTGAAGGAGACACAGCCAGGATCTGCGAAGAAGACAGAAACAATGACATTGGCAGGGTATACCAACCACATGCCATGAAAACTTGACCTAATTGAGCCTGAGTGCCTGCGTTTACCTGATGAGTCATTTCTTGAAAGGAATGGCCGGATGAAATGAGTGTAGACAGCTTGCTGTTGTTCTCTGTCCATGGATGCCATTTGACTGCTGAATGCCTTGATGCTAAATATTGAGAGAAGGCTGTAAACATCTAACCAACTAGAAATAGGCAGGTTCATCTGCCATCAATGTTCACAGTAGAGCAATGTATCACATGTTTGCTTACACAGTCTGGTAGGTCTCGCAGCTGAAGTTCTTGGAGCTGAGGCAGAATAGGAAGTTGGGGGTTGTGGAGGCCAAAAACGGACGAATATTTGTCTGGAACCAGCTGCTGACAAAGTCATCACTCTGCAGTTGTGTCTGGCTGAAGTTGGCAATTCTCACCTCTCCGAGAGCCTCAAGTGCATGTGACAAGGATGGTTTGCTGTTGCCTGGTGCCTGGAATTTGGAAAATAATTTTGGTTTGACAGAATTGGCACGGGAAAACACCAATTTTGTGATAATGTGGCATTTACCATGGTTGCGAATGTCTCAAGAGCCTTGTCTAGTTCAGGAGAAGCTTTTTGGAATAAAAGCTTCCAGACCTCTGTCGGGTATGTCCTGTTGCTTGCCAGTGTGCATTTCATCAATGTGACCAAGTTGCTGGCTGTTAGATGTGTAGCCTTGGAAAGAAATAGACAAGAAATAAAGCAAAGTCTCTCAGAGCCTATGGCTATTAGTTTCAGGAGGCTCATGTAGCAAAAGCCAAATCTTGTTCTGGGATTGATAGCTTACATAAAACAAACTTACCGAGGAACAAGCATGCTCAGTGAGGGTAAAACGGCACAGCGCTTCAGAGGAATTGTAAACAGATAGTGTTTCTTGGACGTGTGGTCTGAGGGGAAAAACAACCATTTAACCTTAGTTAGATTGTGTAAAAGAACTCCGCAAACCTAGCACCGGACAAATCTGCTATACACTTACCTATTGACTGCAGCACAGATGAGGTTCTCTGTGAAAAGACAAAAATGCGTATCAGATATTGTACCTTTGCAATGCAATCTTTTCATCAACGTTTTAATGTCTGGTAAATGACAGACTTACCGTTGACCGGGGTCTTCTTGCACTGGAGAAAAGCAAATCATAATTGTTAGTTTAGTGGCAAAAGTTTGTTTAAGTTAAAAATACCTCAATGAAGCTCCTTAATATAAATCATTTTTGTATGCCAAACGTGTGTCCTGTAAATGTGTTATCAACTATTGCAACGCCTTTTCCATGTTATATCCCCATGTTAATGAACTCACCATGAAGGAGTCTGGAAGTGAGCAACCTGTTTGGAAGAAAATGTAAATGAAGTTATGTCATCAATACAGCTATCGTTACAAGTAATGGTAATTGGGTTTTCTAAAAAAAAAGTTTGTTAGCAGAGTGTTTTGAAACGTACGTGTGAATCTTTCCTTCAGTGACTTTATGCTTGATCTCAGGCTGTCCGAAAGGTGCAATGGCAGGGATTCCAAACTTTGCCCAAGACCACCGAGTCTGAAGAAAGAGCACATCAATCTTTGTCACTTGTCTGGTGCCAACGTTTGAAATCATCATTATGCAAACCTATAATGTCTCACTGTGGACTTTAGAAACATCATCTCTTACATAGCTCTGTAGGAGTGACAGCTGATGTTATTGGGGATGACCGCCAAGCTGCCAGGGTGGAGGCTCGCCAAGACAGGAGCCAACTGGTCCTGGAACAACATCTTAAAGTCTTCAGCCTCAAATTCTTCAAATTCAGGCGCAAGGGCCGTCAAAGTCAGGCTCAAGATTGTGTCTCGTACACCTGGATTTTTGATGAGGGTGATGTTTTTCTGGAAATAAAAGTATACATGTTTCAGCACAGGAGAACATTTAGATTCCTGAAATGATTGTAGAGGTTAGAGCAAGTTTGGTGGCTCATCTTTGCAGTCTAATGCATCGGGAAAACAGTCAGGCCACCATAATTGCAAATCCTTTAACATCTTAAGTGTTACATAGATTTTGATTCAATTCCTGGCCTTTTTTCAGGTTCTGCAACAATGTAACCATCTCAGGACAATTGTAACATGGCCGGCTTGCCAGCACGCTTTTTATGAAAATAGGCCAATTCCAAAGTTAAGCATTCACCTGCTTGTTGGCTTTTGCAAAAGCAATTAAAAAGTGTTCAAACTCCTCATCATCAGGCGACTCTATCAAGCTCGTCAACACCTCCCTTAGGAAGGCCTCATCCTCCAAAGCTCCACTGTCTGTATCCAATATCAGCTCAACCTTCTGCTCTGGTGAGAGGGAGTCCACAACTGCCATCTAAGGATACAAACAAAGAGGATATACCACTTGCTTTTCACCGTGACGTGCCAGAACAACTCCCGCGTGCAGATTTTCCATGTTCTGAATACTGTGTGGTTGTTTTCAAGGAATATTGCTAGCTTAATGTATGACTTACCGCAGAGAGGTTGAAGGCTTTGAGGTCAGAGTATGTTACTTGTTGGGAAAATGCACCCAAGTATGCTTCAAGCCATTCCGCATCACTCTGAATTCCCTGTCTGCAACCTAAGGCAGGTAGATAGACATTAGCATGGGTACCATTTAGCAAGCTTTATTTTTCATCGATACACATGGGACAAGTTGAGTGCCAGCCAGTGTTAGCCCTACCTGGCTTGTTGATGACACTGGCAGATTTGTCCAGATGGCTTAGCAAGGCTTTTCCAATGCCTTTTCGTTGTCCCTTGGACATTGCAGGGGCAGCATTGCTCATCCCACTCACACTGCATGGGATGAAAAGAAACATTATTATGCAGTCCCACTTTAGATGTTGAATTCTCTGCAATGCAAGCGTATTTGTTTGTAAAGTGCTACTCACACGACTTGGAAGTTTTTGCAGGAAATGGTTGTGGTTGCACTCTTGATCATCATTGGACTGAAACTTGGGAGGACAGGAACCAGGATCTTATGGAACCAAACAAACCAGTCTTCTTCCATAAAGTGTGTGAAATGGGGACTGATAATGCTGAAGGTCCGATTCATTACACGGTCTCTCACAACAGGTTGGAAATCCGGGCCCTGTGAAATGACAACATTAGAGGGTTTAAAAGACATACTACACTATACATGATGCAACAAAGGATGTAACACTATATTGGAAATGATAGAGTCCTCGACAACTATTGTAGAGGATTGCCATTCCCAGGATTGCCATTCTTACTCCGATTTCAAAGGTGGCCTACCTTTCCATTAGCTGTCAGCTGTGTCAGGAATTCTTCCACATTTTCCAGAGCATCGCCCTCCTGGAGTCGCTCAAACACACGGTCAATGTGGTCGGTGTCATTCAAGGCCCCTGAGCTCAGTGTCAACTCTGCCACCTGAGTGGGAGTGAGCAGTGGCAACAATTCGGCCTACGGAAGGGAATCAAGATGAAATCATAAAGCATCTATTGCAAAACCACAGGTTAGACATTTCGGTTTGGAAGAAGAATATTACAACCGCTATCCGCCACTTACGCTGGAGAAGTTGGCATTGAGATGTTGCAGATCCCGAAGTTTTGCAAAACCAGAGAAGTTGCCAAAGTTGCCCTGAAGCCACTCTTTACTGCCTCTGTTGAAGGAGACACAGCCAGGATCTGCGAAGAAGACAGAAACAATGACATTGGCAGGGTATACCAACCACATGCCATGAAAACTTGACCTAATTGAGCCTGAGTGCCTGCGTTTACCTGATGAGTCATTTCTTGAAAGGAATGGCCGGATGAAATGAGTGTAGACAGCTTGCTGTTGTTCTCTGTCCATGGATGCCATTTGACTGCTGAATGCCTTGATGCTAAATATTGAGAGAAGGCTGTAAACATCTAACCAACTAGAAATAGGCAGGTTCATCTGCCATCAATGTTCACAGTAGAGCAATGTATCACATGTTTGCTTACACAGTCTGGTAGGTCTCGCAGCTGAAGTTCTTGGAGCTGAGGCAGAATAGGAAGTTGGGGGTTGTGGAGGCCAAAAACGGACGAATATTTGTCTGGAACCAGCTGCTGACAAAGTCATCACTCTGCAGTTGTGTCTGGCTGAAGTTGGCAATTCTCACCTCTCCGAGAGCCTCAAGTGCATGTGACAAGGATGGTTTGCTGTTGCCTGGTGCCTGGAATTTGGAAAATAATTTTGGTTTGACAGAATTGGCACGGGAAAACACCAATTTTGTGATAATGTGGCATTTACCATGGTTGCGAATGTCTCAAGAGCCTTGTCTAGTTCAGGAGAAGCTTTTTGGAATAAAAGCTTCCAGACCTCTGTCGGGTATGTCCTGTTGCTTGCCAGTGTGCATTTCATCAATGTGACCAAGTTGCTGGCTGTTAGATGTGTAGCCTTGGAAAGAAATAGACAAGAAATAAAGCAAAGTCTCTCAGAGCCTATGGCTATTAGTTTCAGGAGGCTCATGTAGCAAAAGCCAAATCTTGTTCTGGGATTGATAGCTTACATAAAACAAACTTACCGAGGAACAAGCATGCTCAGTGAGGGTAAAACGGCACAGCGCTTCAGAGGAATTGTAAACAGATAGTGTTTCTTGGACATGTGATCTGAGGGGAAAAACAACCATTTAACCTTAGTTAGATTGTGTAAAAGAACTCCGCAAACCTAGCACCGGACAAATCTGCTATACACTTACCTATTGACTGCAGCACAGATGAGGTTCTCTGTGAAAAGACAAAAATGCGTATCAGATATTGTACCTTTGCAATGCAATCTTTTCATCAACGTTTTAATGTCTGGTAAATGACAGACTTACCATTGACCGGGGTCTTCTTGCACTGGAGAAAAGCAAATCATAATTGTTAGTTTAGTGGCAAAAGTTTGTTTAAGTTAAAAATACCTCAATGAAGCTCCTTAATATAAATCATTTTTGTATGCCAAACGTGTGTCCTGTAAATGTGTTATCAACTATTGCAACGCCTTTTCCATGTTATATCCCCATGTTAATGAACTCACCATGAAGGAGTCTGGAAGTGAGCAACCTGTTTGGAAGAAAATGTAAATGAAGTTATGTCATCAATACAGCTATCGTTACAAGTAATGGTAATTGGGTTTTCTAAAAAAAAAGTTTGTTAGCAGAGTGTTTTGAAACGTACGTGTGAATCTTTCCTTCAGTGACTTTATGCTTGATCTCAGGCTGTCCGAAAGGTGCAATGGCAGGGATTCCAAACTTTGCCCAAGACCACCGAGTCTGAAGAAAGAGCACATCAATCTTTGTCACTTGTCTGGTGCCAACGTTTGAAATCATCATTATGCAAACCTATAATGTCTCACTGTGGACTTTAGAAACATCATCTCTTACATAGCTCTGTAGGAGTGACAGCTGATGTTATTGGGGATGACCGCCAAGCTGCCAGGGTGGAGGCTCGCCAAGACAGGAGCCAACTGGTCCTGGAACAACATCTTAAAGTCTTCAGCCTCAAATTCTTCAAATTCAGGCGCAAGGGCCGTCAAAGTCAGGCTCAAGATTGTGTCTCGTACACCTGGATTTTTGATGAGGGTGATGTTTTTCTGGAAATAAAAGTATACATGTTTCAGCACAGGAGAACATTTAGATTCCTGAAATGATTGTAGAGGTTAGAGCAAGTTTGGTGGCTCATCTTTGCAGTCTAATGCATCGGGAAAACAGTCAGGCCACCATAATTGCAAATCCTTTAACATCTTAAGTGTTACATAGATTTTGATTCAATTCCTGGCCTTTTTTCAGGTTCTGCAACAATGTAACCATCTCAGGACAATTGTAACATGGCCGGCTTGCCAGCACGCTTTTTATGAAAATAGGCCAATTCCAAAGTTAAGCATTCACCTGCTTGTTGGCTTTTGCAAAAGCAATTAAAAAGTGTTCAAACTCCTCATCATCAGGCGACTCTATCAAGCTCGTCAACACCTCCCTTAGGAAGGCCTCATCCTCCAAAGCTCCACTGTCTGTATCCAATATCAGCTCAACCTTCTGCTCTGGTGAGAGGGAGTCCACAACTGCCATCTAAGGATACAAACAAAGAGGATATACCACTTGCTTTTCACCGTGACGTGCCAGAACAACTCCCGCGTGCAGATTTTCCATGTTCTGAATACTGTGTGGTTGTTTTCAAGGAATATTGCTAGCTTAATGTATGACTTACCGCAGAGAGGTTGAAGGCTTTGAGGTCAGAGTATGTTACTTGTTGGGAAAATGCACCCAAGTATGCTTCAAGCCATTCCGCATCACTCTGAATTCCCTGTCTGCAACCTAAGGCAGGTAGATAGACATTAGCATGGGTACCATTTAGCAAGCTTTATTTTTCATCGATACACATGGGACAAGTTGAGTGCCAGCCAGTGTTAGCCCTACCTGGCTTGTTGATGACACTGGCAGATTTGTCCAGATGGCTTAGCAAGGCTTTTCCAATGCCTTTTCGTTGTCCCTTGGACATTGCAGGGGCAGCATTGCTCATCCCACTCACACTGCATGGGATGAAAAGAAACATTATTATGCAGTCCCACTTTAGATGTTGAATTCTCTGCAATGCAAGCGTATTTGTTTGTAAAGTGCTACTCACACGACTTGGAAGTTTTTGCAGGAAATGGTTGTGGTTGCACTCTTGATCATCATTGGACTGAAACTTGGGAGGACAGGAACCAGGATCTTATGGAACCAAACAAACCAGTCTTCTTCCATAAAGTGTGTGAAATGGGGACTGATAATGCCTGAAGGTCCGATTCATTACACGGTCTCTCACAACAGGTTGGAAATCCGGGCCCTGTGAAATGACAACATTAGAGGGTTTAAAAGACATACTACACTATACATGATATGCTCATCTTGCCTCAGACCCCCCCCCCTCTATCCCCCCTTCCATCTAGCCCCCCCCCCCGCTTCACTGTGAGCACAGGACAGGTCCAGAGTCAGATGGAAAAACTCCACCAAGGCAAGGCTGCTGGCCCTGATGGTATCAGCCCCAGGGTCCTGAGGACCTGTGCACGCCAGCTGGCTCCTGTTCTCCAGTATATATTCAACCTGAGCCTGCACTTGGAGACCATCCCGGTGCTGTGGAAGACATCATGCGTTGTTCCGGTCCCTAAAAAGACAACTCCTTCTGGGCTCAATGACTATCGCCCTGTAGCACTCACATCTCATGTGATGAAGGTGCTTGAGAGACTGGTCTTGGCCCATCTCAGACCGCAGGTGAGATCATTCCTTGACCCTCTGCAATTTGCCTACCAGCCTCACCTGGGGGTGGACGATGCCATTATTTACCTGCTGCAGCGTGCTCACTCATACCTGAATGGATCGGGTTGCACTGTGAGAATCACCTTTTTTGATTTCTCCAGTGCATTCAACACGATCCAGCCTCGGCTACTGAGTGACAAGCTGCAGGCTATGAGGGTAAACTCGTCCACCATCTCCTGGATTACCAACTACCTCACGGACAGACCACAGTACGTCCGGTTGGGCAGTGTGCTGTCTGATGTGGTGGTTGGTAGTATTGGAGCCCCACAGGGGACTGTGCTGTCTCCTTTCCTGTTCACCTTATACACCTCTGACTTTCTATACAACTCAGAGTCATGCCACCTGCAGAAGTTTTCGGATGACTCTGCAGTGGTAGGGTGTATAAGGGATGGACGGGAGGAGGAGTACAGAGCGCTGGTGGGTGATTTTGTTGAGTGGACTGGAAGAAATCATCTGCTTTTGAATGTGGCCAAGACCAGAGAGATGGTCATTGATTTCAGGAGGAAGAGGACATCTCCTCCTCTGCCCCTGTGCATTCTGGGAGAGGATGTGGCAGTTGTGGAGGTCTACAAGTACCTGGGAGTGCACTTAGACAATGGGCTGAACTGGAGGATCAACACTGACGCTGTGTACAAGAAGGGGATGAGCAGACTCTATTTTCTGAGGAAGCTGAGATCCTTCAACGTATGCAGTAAGATGCTGGAGATCTTCTATCAGTCTGTTGTGGCTAGTGCACTCTTCTTTGCTGCGGTCTGCTGGGGGGGCAGCATCAGAGCCGGTGACACCTGCAGGATCAATAAACTGATCAGGAAAGCTGGGTCAGTCATCGGCATCAAGCTGGAACCCTTTGAAGCTGTGGTGGAGAGGAGGACACTGAACAGGCTGTTGTCCATCATGGATAACCCCACCCATCCTCTCCACCTACAGCTGGACAGTCAACGGAGCTCCTTCTCCAACAGACTGCTGCAGCTCCCCTGTCTCAAGGACAGATACTGGAAAACATTCCTGCCCACTGCAATAACACTGTACAACAAATCACCTCTGGCTGGAAGAGAACTCTCTGCTCCATAGTTTCTCTAGAAACCAACAAAGGATGTAACACTATATTGGAAATGATAGAGTCCTCGACAACTATTGTAGAGGATTGCCATTCCCAGGATTGCCATTCTTACTCCGATTTCAAAGGTGGCCTACCTTTCCATTAGCTGTCAGCTGTGTCAGGAATTCTTCCACATTTTCCAGAGCATCGCCCTCCTGGAGTCGCTCAAACACACGGTCAATGTGGTCGGTGTCATTCAAGGCCCCTGAGCTCAGTGTCAACTCTGCCACCTGAGTGGGAGTGAGCAGTGGCAACAATTCGGCCTACGGAAGGGAATCAAGATGAAATCATAAAGCATCTATTGCAAAACCACAGGTTAGACATTTCGGTTTGGAAGAAGAATATTACAACCGCTATCCGCCACTTACGCTGGAGAAGTTGGCATTGAGATGTTGCAGATCCCGAAGTTTTGCAAAACCAGAGAAGTTGCCAAAGTTGCCCTGAAGCCACTCTTTACTGCCTCTGTTGAAGGAGACACAGCCAGGATCTGCGAAGAAGACAGAAACAATGACATTGGCAGGGTATACCAACCACATGCCATGAAAACTTGACCTAATTGAGCCTGAGTGCCTGCGTTTACCTGATGAGTCATTTCTTGAAAGGAATGGCCGGATGAAATGAGTGTAGACAGCTTGCTGTTGTTCTCTGTCCATGGATGCCATTTGACTGCTGAATGCCTTGATGCTAAATATTGAGAGAAGGCTGTAAACATCTAACCAACTAGAAATAGGCAGGTTCATCTGCCATCAATGTTCACAGTAGAGCAATGTATCACATGTTTGCTTACACAGTCTGGTAGGTCTCGCAGCTGAAGTTCTTGGAGCTGAGGCAGAATAGGAAGTTGGGGGTTGTGGAGGCCAAAAACGGACGAATATTTGTCTGGAACCAGCTGCTGACAAAGTCATCACTCTGCAGTTGTGTCTGGCTGAAGTTGGCAATTCTCACCTCTCCGAGAGCCTCAAGTGCATGTGACAAGGATGGTTTGCTGTTGCCTGGTGCCTGGAATTTGGAAAATAATTTTGGTTTGACAGAATTGGCACGGGAAAACACCAATTTTGTGATAATGTGGCATTTACCATGGTTGCGAATGTCTCAAGAGCCTTGTCTAGTTCAGGAGAAGCTTTTTGGAATAAAAGCTTCCAGACCTCTGTCGGGTATGTCCTGTTGCTTGCCAGTGTGCATTTCATCAATGTGACCAAGTTGCTGGCTGTTAGATGTGTAGCCTTGGAAAGAAATAGACAAGAAATAAAGCAAAGTCTCTCAGAGCCTATGGCTATTAGTTTCAGGAGGCTCATGTAGCAAAAGCCAAATCTTGTTCTGGGATTGATAGCTTACATAAAACAAACTTACCGAGGAACAAGCATGCTCAGTGAGGGTAAAACGGCACAGCGCTTCAGAGGAATTGTAAACAGATAGTGTTTCTTGGACGTGTGGTCTGAGGGGAAAAACAACCATTTAACCTTAGTTAGATTGTGTAAAAGAACTCCGCAAACCTAGCACCGGACAAATCTGCTATACACTTACCTATTGACTGCAGCACAGATGAGGTTCTCTGTGAAAAGACAAAAATGCGTATCAGATATTGTACCTTTGCAATGCAATCTTTTCATCAACGTTTTAATGTCTGGTAAATGACAGACTTACCATTGACCGGGGTCTTCTTGCACTGGAGAAAAGCAAATCATAATTGTTAGTTTAGTGGCAAAAGTTTGTTTAAGTTAAAAATACCTCAATGAAGCTCCTTAATATAAATCATTTTTGTATGCCAAACGTGTGTCCTGTAAATTTGTTATCAACTATTGCAACGCCTTTTCCATGTTATATCCCCATGTTAATGAACTCACCATGAAGGAGTCTGGAAGTGAGCAACCTGTTTGGAAGAAAATGTAAATGAAGTTATGTCATCAATACAGCTATCGTTACAAGTAATGGTAATTGGGTTTTCTAAAAAAAAAGTTTGTTAGCAGAGTGTTTTGAAACGTACGTGTGAATCTTTCCTTCAGTGACTTTATGCTTGATCTCAGGCTGTCCGAAAGGTGCAATGGCAGGGATTCCAAACTTTGCCCAAGACCACCGAGTCTGAAGAAAGAGCACATCAATCTTTGTCACTTGTCTGGTGCCAACGTTTGAAATCATCATTATGCAAACCTATAATGTCTCACTGTGGACTTTAGAAACATCATCTCTTACATAGCTCTGTAGGAGTGACAGCTGATGTTATTGGGGATGAACCGCCAAGCTGCCAGGGTGGAGGCTCGCCAAGACAGGAGCCAACTGGTCCTGGAACAACATCTTAAAGTCTTCAGCCTCAAATTCTTCAAATTCAGGCGCAAGGGCCGTCAAAGTCAGGCTCAAGATTGTGTCTCGTACACCTGGATTTTTGATGAGGGTGATGTTTTTCTGGAAATAAAAGTATACATGTTTCAGCACAGGAGAACATTTAGATTCCTGAAATGATTGTAGAGGTTAGAGCAAGTTTGGTGGCTCATCTTTGCAGTCTAATGCATCGGGAAAACAGTCAGGCCACCATAATTGCAAATCCTTTAACATCTTAAGTGTTACATAGATTTTGATTCAATTCCTGGCCTTTTTTCAGGTTCTGCAACAATGTAACCATCTCAGGACAATTGTAACATGGCCGGCTTGCCAGCACGCTTTTTATGAAAATAGGCCAATCAACACCTCCCTTAGGAAGGCCTCATCCTCCAAAGCTCCACTGTCTGTATCCAATATCAGCTCAACCTTCTGCTCTGGTGAGAGGGAGTCCACAACTGCCATCTAAGGATACAAACAAAGAGGATATACCACTTGCTTTTCACCGTGACGTGCCAGAACAACTCCCCGCGTGCAGATTTTCCATGTTCTGAATACTGTGTGGTTGTTTTCAAGGAATATTGCTAGCTTAATGTATGACTTACCGCAGAGAGGTTGAAGGCTTTGAGGTCAGAGTATGTTACTTGTTGGGAAAATGCACCCAAGTATGCTTCAAGCCATTCCGCATCACTCTGAATTCCCTGTCTGCAACCTAAGGCAGGTAGATAGACATTAGCATGGGTACCATTATAGCAAGCTTTATTTTTCATCGATACACATGGACAAGTTGAGTGCCAGCCAGTGTTAGCCCTACCTGGCTTGTTGATGACACTGGCAGATTTGTCCAGATGGCTTAGCAAGGCTTTTCCATGCCTTTTCGTTGTCCCTTGGACATTGCAGGGGCAGCATTGCTCATCCCACTCACACTGCATGGGATGAAAAGAAACATTATTATGCAGTCCCACTTTAGATGTTGAATTCTCTGCAATGCAAGCGTATTTGTTTGTAAAGTGCTACTCACACGACTTGGAAGTTTTTGCAGGAAATGGTTGTGGTT